AGAAGGAAAGGAGTAAGTATATATATAGGAAACCCTATAATGAGCACGTGATTTAGGGGTATATATAAGCTAATTCGTATTACAATTTGCGATTTCAAGCTAGCTCTACAAGCCCACTGGCTATTGCTCGGCTCGCCCCTGCCCCCCGGCGCCTCACATCGCTCACCAGCTGTACCACTAGCATCGCCCTCGATATGGTGCGCCTCATGCTGCTTCTAGAGCGCGGGGCCAGTCCCAACTAGCTGTAGTTGTCCTGCTTCTGCTGGCGTGCTGCGAGATGGTGCGCAGAGAAGAGGAGGTTTCTTCTATGCTCGAGCAGGGTTGGTGCCGCGTGTGCGAGTTGCTCTTTCGGCATCGGACGGAGTTAGACTGCTGTCTAGGCGATGACGTGGGTGAGAGGTGACGGGCAGCAGCTGGATGTCTTCGAGATCTTGAACAGCGTGTTCGGGCGGGATCAGGTAGGGGTATTGCAGAGGCATGGCGAGTGAATTGACGCTGCCCCCCTTTTTCCTGGTTCTCCAATCCGTTACATTCTGGGTTGAACTATACCAGTAGGTAGCTTGCTTGCTAGTCAGACTGTGATGGATTAAGGAGCGGGCTAACCCACATCTTCTGTCTGTGATACTGCTAGGGCAGTATGCTGGCTACAATGCGAGATAGATCGGGCTCCTCACATAAAATTGGCAGTATATAACTGAAGATTGTCATGCATCTTTATCCAGGCTAGCACTGAAAACGTGACGTCATCTCATGTTCCCAGTCCAAGCATGTTACTCACCTTCAAAGGACCCTCAACATCACTCTATCAATCACTTAAAACTGCGTCTGGTTGATGCAGTTTTACTAGAATTCATCGGAAAGGAAGCCGCCTGTATAGATATGAAAGACAGTGGGCAGACGCACATTCTCGCTGTAAGTAATCGTGAGAAACTGCACAATCTCTTGAAGACGCAACCGACTAATCAAGCAAAATCCACTAGGCCGGCGCTGTGGCAGCGTTCACAGTGGATCTTCTTGTTTACCCCCTTGATACACTCAAGACTCGCTACCAGAGTGGACAACAATCTACCGGATGGATCTCGCTCAGGGCTATGAGAGGGCTGTATCAGGGCGTGGGAAGTGTTGTGTGCGCGACGCTGCCAGCAGGTAAGCTACGCGCACCACACCACAGAATCCCGCGACCGTCAGTCTAACTCATTCTTGGCCATCCAAACCCACAGCGGCCATATTCTTTGCGACTTACGAGTCGAGCAAATCCCTGCTTACCCGTTCTCTGCCTGCCGTGATACCTCAGCCAGCCATCCACTCGCTCGCCTCGGCCGGCGCCGAGCTGGCCTCGTGCTTCGTGCTTACCCCCGCAGAGGTGATCAAGCAAAACGCTCAGGTGCTGCGTCAGTCCGACATTTCCCGGCGTGGCCAGTCCTCGTCACTTCTTGCTCTTCAAATGCTACGGCATGGAGAAGGCGGACTGGCGCCGAGGTTGTGGTCAGGATACACGGCCCTAGCGGCGCGAAACCTGCCATTCACGGCGATGCAGTTTCCCATGTTTGAGTACCTCCGCAACTATCTCTGGAGGTGGCGTCGACACCTCCACTCCCCCGGCACATCGACGTCTGCATCTCCATCCCCGGCCGAAAGGCTTTATACAACTCAGCAAGCTGAGCACGCTTTGGACGGCCCGCTTATTGAAACAGGCGTTATAACAGGATGTGCTGCGGCGGTATCCGGCTCTATCGCGGCAATGATAACAACTCCGGCGGACGTGATCAAAACTAGGATCATGCTTGGAGTTGGGGAGTCTTCGGATGCGCCGAGGGACGGAGGCAACCACAAGCCTCGACTGGTCAACAAAGGTGGATTGAACGCTGCAAGAAGGGTACTGCAAGAGAGCGGGATTCGTGGCCTATTCCGAGGCGCTATGTTCCGTGCTACATGGGCGGCTTTGGGGAGTGGACTTTATCTTGGCTCGTATGAGGTGACCAAAGTTTGGTTGAAACGTCGCTCATCTTGAATCATCATTGACGCCAAAAGCTTTGTTCGACAATGAAGTGTGACTGATGGAATACCGTGATACGGATGCTTCAAGATCAGAAACGCAGCGTCACGGGCCAAGACGAAGAGAATGAACAGGCCGGTCGACTTTATGGCGATTCTCGAGTCGGGCCTTGCGGGTCGGTGGCGGCTCGGTATTTGGAGGCGGCAAAGTCCGTTTTGGTGCATCCGGATGTGGGCTCTTGGAGACTGCATAATTGGGGAGCGGTCCCCTTTGACAATCCCAGCCGATATCGCAGCCGCCTTGACTCCCGTGGAACCGACATTAGATGGCACTTCTAGTCAGTTGCGTGGACAGGAGAGGTTACAGTGAACGGACTGGGTGGTTGGTGATAGGGACGAGCTGCATGATGCAATTAAGGGAGGTGGTTACGTCCCATATCCCGGTCGGCCCACCAAAAGGGTCGAGGATACGAGGATCCCAAGTCTGGTGCTTAGTATGCTGGATATGGGGGACATTCAATCAATCATTCAACCGTACCTCCATACCGCTCGAAGGTAGTCATTGGACGGTTTCAAGAAACCAAAAGACGCGACCTTAGGATTTTTCCTATCATTAGACTCCTAGAGCCTAGAGGATGCTTATTGAATGAGACCGAGTCCTCTGCAATGGCACCACCCTGGCGTTTGATGGCGCAATCCGCAGAGTGTCAGCAATATGCTGAAGCGACCCTTTATCTGCCGCCGGAGAGTTTCGGGGCAGATGCACTGCCATGAAGATGACTTCGAAGTGAGTTGCTCAGGAGGTGGCACAATGCTTCCCTGTCGGTGTAGGTAGTTTCGCTGTGTCCGACGTCGCTCTTCTTCCAGATCCAGCGCCAGCCTTTTTCCCTACTTATGCCATCCAATCCATCCTTGAGAGCTTCCTGACATACCGCAGTCGAGACTGTTAGGGCAGCACAGCATATAGCTCTGCTGTTACCCTTTCCTGGGCCACCCTCCCGCTCTTCGCCCCCCGCGGGTCCTTCCAAATTTCCAATCCACACACAACCATCATGACCGTCTCGCAAGGACCCGTGGCCGTGATCGAGAATCAACTTGATGCGGCCTATCCAACGGCCGTGGCTACCGGAGCCAAGGCACTTGCCGCTTTGCAGAAGCCCACCATGAAACAGAGCAGATACCTTGTCGTATCCCCATACTCTGAGCAAGAGCATCTTCTCGACCTCGAGAGCCTCGACATTGAGAATCAGCTGCTAGCGCTCTCGCTGACCACCATGAAATGCCTGCGAGATGACTATGCCACAGCACCGTATATCGAGACGTTCAATTGGGCCGACATGATAGCAACGCTGCGGGCTCTGGCGCGGCAAATCAACCATTCGTGGAAGGAGACTTCCTTCTTCGTCGTGGCGTTCCGTTCTCAGATACCTCCAACAACGGCCTATTCTGACCTGGCGGTGCTTGATAAAGCAGCGCACTCCGAGGCCACAGCTAGTGGCGGTTTTCTCAAGTAGGTCCCCGTCCGGAATCCCTCAGGGCAAGCGGGGGAGAAATCTGGGAAACTGCAACTGACACTTGTTTGCTGCAGGTACTGGTTTGGGAGTCCAGACACCGAGGGTCGCAACTTGGCGACATGTATATGGAGGTCCCAAGAAGATGCAAGGAAAGGAGGGATGGGCCCCGCTCACCGCAAGGCCGCTGTCGCAGCGCGGTCTTTGTATTCGTACTGGAAAATTGATCGGCATCGGCTCACTATAAAGAATGGCATCGATAGCTGGGAGATTACTGAGTGGGCAGAATGAGGCGATGTGGCGGTTGCAATGGTTTGCTTGCTGTGAAAGTGAAGGCGTTCATCATTATAAGGTGGTTAGGATGAGTTGGTGGATGGTAGGTAGGCAACCTGGAAGTGCGAAGAGTATAGAAAACGAGTCAATCGAAGTGAGCGAAGTTGGGTCATCTCGATTTATGTAAGAGCACCAACCAAGGCATCTGTTCTAAGAAGGCGAGGTGTTTCGACGTGGGGGAGGCGTGGGATGCCATTGCTAAGGATCGAATCATCGCTCAAGACTCCGGAGTCAATGTTCCACTGCTGGGAGGTGTATTGTGCTCTCTCTCTGTAATTGCTTGATGCTATGTATACGCGAGAAACCAAGAGATTTCTCCAAAAAAGACATGATCATTGTGCGCTTTATCCCGACGGCGACGAGGTTGGCCTCTCCTAGATCCAAGAGTTAAGCGACCCCCAAATGAAAGTACCACAGGGGGAAGGCCCAACCATTTGCTGTGTGGGGCTGCGTTTTTGGATGTCCTGGCAAAGTCATGTTGGCAACCCGTTAACAATTATCTCACTCGAATGCCCCACGTGCTGCGGCTAATACAGTATTCGTACGAATGTAACCTACGATACGCGTAATTATACGTACCAGGCTCACTTTTCTGCCGGAGATCTCCGCTTCCTTTCTCTCAAACCACAGCACTTTTCCGGTTGCAGGCCCACAAACCAAGATTTCGAAAAGTCAGAAGCAGCCTCAGCCACCAGACAAAGCGAATAGAGTAACCATTCGAAGCCTTCCACGACCCAGAATCTTTGCAACTAGCGATATCAAACCATGGTCGACGCGTCGAAGGATGCGCCGTTTAAAACGGTGCAGGTAGAGGCCCTGGTATGTTGTCTAGCTCAAACCCCGCCTTGCCGCCGTCGCGATGCTAACAATGCGACGCAGGTGGTGATGAAGATTGTAAAGCACTGCTCGTCAAGCTTCCCGACCACGGCCACAGGGTCTATTGTCGGAATGGACAATAACAACGTGCTCGAAGTCACAAATACATTCCCGTTCCCGACGCCCGACATCTCGACCACCGACCACCAGACTGATGCTTCAAGCCTCGCCGCAGCCCCTCGTGCGAAAGCCAACATTGCGTACCAGAATGAGATGATTAGACATCTCAAGGAGGTCAACGTGGATGCCAACAATGTGGGATGGTACACCAGCGCGAGCATGGGGAACTTCATCACTCTGCCGTTTGTGGAGAACCAGTATCACTACCAGCGAGACAACGACAAGACGGTGGCGCTTGTGCACGACGTGAGCAGGAGTTCCCACGGTGCGCTGAACTTGCGCGCCTTCCGGCTTTCACCCGAGTTCATGGCGGCATATAAGGAGGGTAAATTTACCACTGAGAGGTCAGGCAAATAATCAGGCGACTGTCGCGTTCTGCTACTCGGACACTAACACAATCTGACAGTCTGCAAAAGTCCAAGCTGTCCTTCAAGGACATCCTCGTCGAGGTCCCCGTAATAGTCCACAACACTCACCTTCTCACCTCGTTCCTGCACCAAATACCGGCGCCACCACCTGAGTCGCCCGAGATCCCCCTGCCGGCCTCTCTCGACGACATTCAGCGAGACGCGCCTAAGCTGCCCGCACACCCGACCTTTGACTTTCTCGATCTCTCTATCGACCCCTTTTTCGAGAAGACGTGCGATCTGCTCCTCGAGAGCATCGAGGCCCACTACACCGACCTTAACAACCACCAATACTACCAGCGGCAGTTGACTCGCGAGCAGTTCAAGATCTCCCAGTGGCAAGCGAAGCGCAAGGCCGAGAATGCCGCACGCCTTGCCGCCAAGCAGGCACCCCTGCCCGAGGACGAGTGGCAGGGCCTGTTCAAGCTGCCACAGGAACCCAGTCGCCTTGAGGGTATGCTCAACGCGCGCCAGGTCGAGCAGTACAGTAAGCAGGTTGACAGTTTTACCGCAACCACCACGTCCAAGATGTTCGCCGTAAGAGGGAACTTGCTGCCCGAGTGATTATCTCCTCTGGGATTTGTGATGGAGGAGGGGACGCGGGACCTAGGAGGCGGGCGGCTGCTAGGTTGCGGTTATAGGGTCTCAATTGCATTTGGGACTGGCGTTATAGGTCTTGGGACATGTTTGATATGGGCTAGCCATGTGATGCCTGGTATCGATCTTCTGAGCTACAAGGTTCACTTGCAGAGTGCCGTGGATGTATGGGCCCCTGAGAACCGCAACTCAAGTTGGGCCAAGTAGAGCGAAGACTATGTCAGCCATCTGGCTGTATAAGCGGGCGACAGGTCCGGACTTGTGTTAATGGGCCACTCGGAGTGGTAACCAAAGGAGCTGAACCCGAATGCCGAAACTTGCACCTTGAGGGGCCCTTTCCGCATTGATCAGTCCGAAGCGGATGGAGGGGTAGATGGTGGGGTGGATATCCAAAAGTGGCTTAGCCTCGCTCTTCACTTTTCTCACCGACTTCTTTCCGCTTCCTCAGTTCTGCTACGGTGCTACCTGCCTGCTCTGTTCAAAGTGCCCTTCTCTCCATGCGTTTGAGTCGCCTGTTATGAAAAGTAAGGGACGATAAAAGGGGAACAAAGGACTCTCGCCTTTTTCTACCTCCTTCTAAAAATCAGTTACGGTTACTTTTCTACTGGTCCTTGACTGTATTAGTGGCGGCGATTACTTAAGTGCGGCGCTGCTTGGGAAGAATTCCAATTGCAACCCCTCTCACCCCGCCAACTCCGCCCCTCTTTAAAAAGTAAGCATCGAGCCCGCCCATCCTCCCTTCCCCCATTCTCATCCTCTCCCTATCCCTCTCCCAGTTCTTCCCTTCTAGTTGATCGTTATCCTGACCGACCATTGTCCCCCCAGCAATTGCCCTCCTTACCGTCCCAGAATGTCTGCTCCTGCCCACAAGTTCAAGGTCGCCGACCTTTCCCTTGCCGCCTTCGGGCGCAAGGAGATTGAGATGGCCGAGAACGAGATGCCTGGCCTCATGGCCACGCGGAAAAAGTATGCTGCCGATCAACCCCTCAAGGGTGCGCGCATCGCTGGTTGTCTGCACATGACAATCCAGACGGCAGTCCTGATTGAGACGCTCGTTGCTCTCGGTGCTGAGGTCACATGGTCGTCGTGCAACATTTTCAGCACGCAGGACCATGCCGCCGCCGCCATTGCCGCCGCCGGCATTCCCGTTTTCGCCTGGAAGGGCGAGACTGAGGAGGAGTACAACTGGTGCCTGGAACAGCAGCTTGTTGCCTTCAAGGATGGCAAGAAGTTGAACCTGATCCTGGACGATGGCGGTGATCTCACTCACCTCGTGCATACCAAGTACCCCGAGATGCTCAAGGACTGCTACGGCGTGTCTGAGGAGACGACCACGGGTGTCCACCACCTGTACCGCATGCTCAAGAACGGCCAGCTGCTGGTTCCCGCCATCAATGTCAACGACTCAGTCACCAAATCCAAGTTCGACAACTTGTACGGCTGCCGCGAGTCGCTGATTGACGGCATCAAGCGTGCCACGGACGTCATGATCGCTGGCAAGATCGCCGTTGTTGCCGGCTTTGGCGATGTCGGCAAGGGTTGCGCCATGGCGCTCCACGGCATGGGTGCTCGTGTGCTGGTCACCGAGGTTGACCCCATCAACGCCCTCCAGGCTGCCATGGCCGGCTATGAGGTGACCACCATGGAGAAGGCTTGCAAGGTTGGCCAAATCTTCGTCACGACCACCGGCTGCCGGGACATCTTGGTCGGCAGGCACTTCGAAGCGATGCCCAACGATGCCATTGTCTGCAGTATGTCTTGCTGTTACCTAGTAAGCCCTGTCGTTTGCGTATGCTGACTCGGTGTGTTTCAGACATTGGCCACTTCGATGTCGAAATTGATGTTGCCTGGCTCAAGGCCAACGCCCAGTCCGTCCAGAACATCAAGCCTCAGGTTGACCGTTTCTTGATGAAGAACGGCCGTCACATCATTCTGCTTGCCGAGGGTCGCCTGGTCAACCTGGGCTGCGCTACTGGCCACAGCTCCTTCGTCATGTCGTGCAGCTTCACCAACCAGGTGCTTGCTCAGATCATGTTGTACAAGAACAACGACGAGGCTTTCGCCAAGAAGTACGTCGAGTTCGCCAAGAGCGGCAAGCTCGAGAAGAAAGTCTATGTTCTTCCCAAGATCCTCGATGAGGAAGTTGCTCGCCTTCACCTGGCTCACGTCAACGCCGAGCTTACTACCCTTACCTCTGCCCAGGCTGAGTACCTCGGCCTGGACGTTGAGGGTCCGTTCAAGAGCGACCAGTACGTCCCCACTGCTACATCCTGGTTTCCCTTTGAGACAGTTGCTAACGACACACAGCTACCGCTACTAATTCCTTGTTGTACTCTGTCCTCGCTTCAGCATGGTCGTTTTAGATGCGAAGAAGCGTATTTGTATAGATCTTCAACACGTGGGATCTTGGAGGGGTCTCGTGGCATGTTTTCTAAGATAATTCCTTTATTGTTCTTCTCCGGCATTGTTTTTCAACAGGCATGACTTGCATGGCACATGAGGGTCTGGGTAGGGTATAAAAAGGCTCACGGGGGTTCGGGTACACATTTTCAACAAAAGTACGGCGTTGGCTTTGGCTCATGATATCCCACCCACACCTCACGGGGAAGGCGTTTAACAGAGCTTGTCATCATGGTGCGCGGGAGCACTTTTCTGGGGCAGACAAGACAGGAATGGACATGGACCCGTCAACCGGGCCTAGATAGATAGATGCAGGGGGCGACTTAATTGAAAGAGACTGGCTTCCTGGGCGAGCATGTACACAGAACACGGGCCAGAGTCCTCGGTTTCCAAAGAGCACTGCGGGGGCAACTGGGTTCCAACTTCCGAGTAGCGTTAGCAGTCTGGCTTGACCGCCATAGAGGAGCGTGCAGTTAGTTGGAGCGTTCGATATCTTATCTCACTCCGATGAAGGTAGCAGATGTGCGTCACTTATCTCTCTCCCTGGCTGGGTGTGTTCATCTCATACATCATACCCTACCACCCGTGTAAACGCCCATTAGGAGCATGCATGGGCCATGGCCAACCCCAGAGCGGGGTCCTCCGCCTTGGAGATACGGGTACATAACCCCGTCTCCCTGCCATGGGGCAAGCGGGGGTCTTTTCTCACGATCTTGATGACTTTGGCACAGGAACCATATCCTTCAGACAACATACCTGACGAATCCTTCACAGTTCACCAGAAGTCCGCCCTAGAGCTATCGGGGCTCTGCAAAGAAACCCCATCAGCATGGGTCGGGATCAGGAACAGCGGCCCAGGGTTCTCTTGCTTGGCGTTATCGAACAGTAGGTGCCTCATCTCGTCCGCCCCCCAAGCGGTGTGCTGGCCCTGGATCGGTTCTGTCATAGCCGTGATGTGGTTTGCGATTTGACGCGGGGGATTGAGCTACTTGGACGAGCCTTGCCTTTTTCCTAGTCTTCCATAGCTATCCCCTTTCCTTACCGCTTTGACCGGGTGGAGCTGGTTACTGCCCTGTCCAGTCAGTGACGCTGCGGCTGCTGACCATCATCCACACGAGGGGTGCGGCAAAGGGCGGAGTGGGCGATCAAGCCACCAGCACAGTCGAGTTAGTGGCATCAGATCACTGACCCCTCACTCATAGCGCACATTCCGCCTGGGCGTCAGTCAGCGAGATCGCCGAGGTGGTGACCCCGGCGTCAACCAACCGGGCCGAGTTCCTCTCCGAGGCGGCGTCGGGGGCGTTTGAGGGCTGCGTGGCGGCCTACCGGACCTTTGACAGCTTCTCGGTGACGGGCAAGATCGACGTCGAGCTCCTGGCCGCGCTGCCCTCGTCGCTCCGCTTCATCTGCCACAACGGCGCGGGCTACGACCAGGTCGATGTGTCCGCATGCACGGCGCGCGGTGTGCGCGTCTCCAACACGCCCACGGCCGTCGACGACGCCACCGCCGACATGGCCATCTTCCTCCTCCTCGGCGCGTTGCGCAACCTGGCCGTCGGCATGGCCTCGCTGCGCGCCGGCAAGTGGCGCGGCACGGGCGAGGGCGGTGCTGCCGGCCCAGCTCTAGGGCATGACCCCCAGGGCAAGGTGCTGGGGATCCTTGGCATGGGCGGCATCGGACGCAACATGGCACGCAAGGCGCAGGCGTTTGGCATGAAGATCCGCTATCACAACCGCACCCGGCTGGATCAGGATGTGGAGGAGGCACTAGGGGCCGAGTACGTGTCGTTTGACCGGCTGCTGGGCGAGAGTGACGTGCTGAGCTTGAACCTGCCTCTCAACGTGAGTGGGAACGCCGAACTCTTCAATTGCTGGTCGTATCACAGCGATGACTGACGCCAGACTTGCCCTAGCCGCACACGCGACATATCATCTCGCGCCGCGAGTTCGCCAAGATGAAGCCGGGCATTGTCATTGTCAACACGGCGCGGGGAGCCGTAATGGATGAGGTTGCGCTGGTCGAGGCTCTTGACTCGGGACAAGTGAGCTCGGCCGGGCTCGACGTCTACGAGCAAGAGCCCTTTGTCCACCCCGGCCTGCTCGCGAATCCCCGCGCCATGCTCGTTCCACACATGGGCACTTGGACTGTCGAAACCGAAACCAAGATGGAGGAATGGTACGTATTAGTCCGAGCCACATTTGGAAGGGGTTCCCAAGATCGCAGTTTTGGATGGGATAGGTACCTTAGTCTTGACTGACTCACATGGATCCTCAGGGCCATCAGCAATGTTCGTATGGCTATCGAGTCGGGGCGATTGCGCAGTATCGTACCCGAGCAGAAGGACATGCGAGGGGAGTAGAGGCAAGTCAAGATAAATTGTGCGAGAAAAGACCAAGGACCAAGGAAAGATGGCCCGGCCATTGGAGAAAAGGCCCCTTCGTCGTTTGCAACCAACATACGGCAACACTAGACTACGTGGCGGACGGCCTTTAGTAGATACTCGGTATTGTTCATCGCAACTTGACGGGACTTACCCGCGGCCAGATGATGCACAGGGGGAAAGAGAAAGCTAGTGCTTGCATATAACGTACGGGATTAACGGGCTAGAGGTCTGGTAGATTAGACCCTATACAAGGCGTGAATTATCGAGGCAAAGGTGCGCAGTGTCCTAGCGCCAGCACATCGCCGCGCATACGCACGGAGGATGCGAAGACCAAAGGGGCCGAATCGAAGGTCACAGGAAGGCTGACAAGCGCAGGGCCAAGCGCTCCCCGCCCTCTTTGTTCCTGAGAATAAACACCTTGCGACGCTCTATAGGGGTTGCGACGCAGGCCAGGTATCGTAGTTTTACATACAAACAGCCCAAATTACCTCTAAGCTAATGTTGAGGGACGCGGAAATGCAGCCGAGCACCAGAGCATATTCTGGTCCCACTATAGGCAACTTCCCATCCTTGCCCTGGCAACTGGCCAGGCAGACCGTCCGGTTTTGGCATCGCGATGCCATATTATCTTACTATTCTTCCCACAATTAAACCCCCTGTTTTCGCAGAGCCCGAAACCCGACTCCTAACGCCTCATGAGGGTGCTGACATTGACACCAGGCCTAACAAAAGCACGGAACGCCAGGTCGGCGAAGCGGCGAACCACGTTCGTCGTCCCCCCTGTCGATGCCGACTCGTCCCGAATAAACCTCGTTGCTACGGCGAGCTTGCTGCGGGGATCGGACTCTCCCAGATGCGACGGCACGTTCTGCTCGTTCCAGGTGGCATCCCAATGCGACGTGTACTCCCTCAGCACGGCAATGCTGTAGAGAACGTCTCGGTTCTCTCGACCATCCAGCAGAGACCTCATCGCTTTTAGACAACCCTCCCTGACAGTGACATGCGCGGGTGAGGCGGTTGCATGATCAAGGAGGAGGTACTTGGCTAGCTGATACCAAAAATCCAGCTCATTCCTGCGCAATGGACTGATATTTCCAGTGGGAGGGGACAAGGGATTGCTTGTAATGCTCTCGCCCGATAAGAGCGCCTCCAAGACTTGCACGCGGCCACAAGCCTCCCAAAGATCGTCTGGTGCTGAAGCTGACTCGGGTAATTGGTTCCGTTGGGTGGCGCTGGCAGCGAGCGGAAGGCGGGCGAGCGACCAGACGACACGTGTTTCAAGGTGGGAAGAGTGCGCCAGATCTACCGGGTCGGTACTTTTGACGCTAGATATGGCTTGAAGGAAGGAGACGAAAAGGGAAATGAGCGCCTTGTCGTTGTGCAGCGTGGCCCCCGGGTTCGTCGTCGTTTCTCGGTTCGAAAGGTTATACCATTGCGTCTCGAAAAAGAGCACAAGGCCTGGGACATAGACCTCGTAATACAGCTTCGTGATCTCTTCGAGAACATCGGCGGGCGGGAGTGAGCTTGCTGCAGGGGGGTTGGAGACACCCCCCAGGGCAATCAGCTCATCGACCTTCATTTTCTTTGCTGGAGAATTTGTATGAGCGGACACGGTCTCGTGCGGTAGGGGTGGGGAAAGCGCAGACAAAGTGGGTGAAGGGGAGGACGGTGTGCCACCTCGCGGCTGGTTGGCGTCACCAGCAGTCTGGTCCCCACTCCTGACTGCGCTGTTTGGCTGATTCCGCGGTGTTGCCTGTGAGCCGGTGACACTTGCGGAGTTTGTGCCTTGTAGCGCCGGGTCGATGGCACTCGAGTAGTCGTAGCTCGGCTCGCTCTTGACGGTTGGAGGTGTGGCGGACGGGTCCGAGTCGAACACGGCGTTGGACGGAAGCGGAGGGGGATAGGCTGTTTGATACGAGTGTGGGTTAGAGCTCGAAGGCACGGTCGGCGCGGTGACGACGGAGGCAGGGACAGGAGGCTGGGAGGTCGGAGCTGGCTGTATGGCTGTTGGACCGTGCTGTTGCCTGAAGATGGGATCGTAACCGAGACATTCGCGCTTGGATTTCTTGCAGTTGTTACAGGTTGGGTGCGCTTCGTCGCACTACATCACAAACAGGTGTTAATAAAAAGACAAACATGAAGTAAGAGAGACAACGGTGCTGATGCGCAATCGAAGAAGCGAAGCGGCAGTGGCTGAATTATGCCGGATTGGTAGACGCCCTAAGGTGGGGGAGGGGCGTTGAAGGGGAACAGCAGGGGTTTTGTGGTTGCGGCGAGCATAAGGGTACAAATTGTTGGCGCGGAAAAATCGGTCAAAGGATGGGATGCCTTGCTCGCTTCGGCGTGGCTCCAGAGCACTAGCGAAGCGAAAAGCGTGATGTTGACCAGAGAAAACGGCTGCGTTTGCTTCCCAACCAAATCCCAACCTTCTTTACCGAAACGCCGACGGTACGTGAGGAAACAAACGGCTGATTGACAAGGCAAACAGTGCGCAAAAGCCATGCAAGCGAGTCAGGGAGGAGCAACGAAGCACCACGCACCTTTATTCTACGCTTGCGGCAAGTCAAACACCCAGTTTTTGTCCGCCTCTTGATCTCCTACCGTCGCGCGCAACGTCTATTGTCAGCAGGCCGGGTCGTCCTAGGGCAGGAACCTGTTGCGTTGCACTGGTACCTTTTTGTGTCTGCCTCCGCTCAGGGCAATACGCGGGTCATGGGCTAAGCCCGGGGGTAGAGCGAACCGCATCGCATTCGGGTCTGGAAGACCGTACACGTGGGCATGGGGATGGACGCCGTAGTAGCCCATGGGCGGAGGAGGGGCGGAGGCCGGCGGCATTGGCCCTGCCATGTGGGCACCCAGGGGAAGCGCGTGCTGCGGTGGTGCTTGCGGCTGCCGGGGATCGAGGGTCCGCATACTGGGGAGGGAAGTCGGGGCCGGTCGGTAGGGATCGGCAGCCGGGTGCGGCTGTGGTGGGAAAACGTAGTGTGAAACAGGAGGCATGCCGGAGGCATGGTAGGGTGCCGGGTTCGCGTACGTCACCGGTTGGCGGGGAGGCCCGGACGGCGGTGGTGCGTTGGACATGTCTGAGGGTTTTAGCACTGGCACGCCGCCGCCGTGTTGCGGCCCGTTCTGGGTGACGGGGGTGCCTGGCGTCGGGTCTGCAGGACTTGCAATTGACGCGGTATTGTCAGGCCTGCAGTTGGCATTCGAAGGACCATTGGATGTTCCGCTGCCGTCACCGACGCCGGAGTTGTGGCCGCTTCTGTCGCTGCCACTGCCACTTCCACTTCCACTTCCACTGCCACTGCCACTGCCACTACTATCACCAGCACCGCCGTTGTCGAAGGAATGCGAAATTCCGGTCTTTGTCCCCGAATCACTCCAATCAGCTGTTTGAGGTGAATTGTGGTTCTGCAGCGGCTGCTCTTGGTGATGTGGCGGGCAGTAGTGTTGCTTATCCAGCGCGTCCTGATCTGGCTGCACGCGCGGCTCAACGGAAGTTGAGTCCAAGGACGACTGCTGCAGTCGCAACGGGATTGATTCGGGGGGTTGAGCCATGATGGGAATTTAATTAGTTTTTTTATGGAGCCACGATTCCATGACCCCCCTCCCCCCAAGGCGAAAAAAATATAATACAGCGACAAGGGGAAGAACACGACCCTGGCCCGACTTCCCTGTGTGGACTGACCTGGCTGTTGTTGTTGGTGGTGTGGCTGCTGCCGCTGCTCTCACAAAAATTCAGCGATTTGCAGGTGCATGCAAGTCGTCACAGTATGGAAGTAACGAATGACACTGTATGATATGTACATGCATACCGTAAGATACAGTAACGTGTCATCCCGTAGTAGTCTGTACCAGTACCTTACGTAGGACTGTAGCATGCCTGGACCAACGGCCCTGCAATACCGCTTCTCTGCGAGAGGTCGGCGAGGTCGGCTACTTAGGCCCAGATATATGATGTCCCTTCCCTTCCTGTGTGTAGCCTCTCCTACCTTACGAAGTTACAGGTAGGTACCGACCTTAATGGAACTAATATCTCAGCCCTCCCTTTCTCTAGATCCACCAAATTCCCAAAGTGCAGGTACCTCCTGCCTACCTGCAACCCGGCACTGGGCCGCGGAACAGTTTAATGAGCCCCTGGGCAGCAGGACATCGCACGTGTACTGTAATAATGTATGTAAGGTATGTATTGTACAGTACAACAGTTCAGAGAAGCTGGCACTCTCATCACAACTCATATCATAAGGTTATCTGGTTAGTTACCTCGCATGGCTTTTGTGTGACCATAGCTTAACCGTTTTCCTCCTTTTGCCCCTGGGAAACACGTAGTGCAGAACATGGAGCGCCCCTAGCGATTGCTCCATCAGGCTGATTCGATTCCCCCTGGCCAGGGTAATGGAAAATGAGGTGGGGCTTAGAACCGCCGAAGGGGGGCGCGGCAGAGGCATGAATTGACGATATATCCTACATACCGTAACGTTAGTCCCTAAACATAATGTATGTGGAAGGTGGTGGGCTGGCATCCGATGCACCCAAGGACAACCTTACAAGCCGCCACGGACGCCCGAGAGGGTGTGGACAACGTGCTTTGCCCAAAGGGAAACCGGCCCATTCGCGGCTGTTGCAGAGCCGAGCGTCGATCTATGTGGTTGGTAAATGTCGCCTATCTCTTTTGTCTCTCCCCCTTGAACGCTACAATCTTGGAGCCGACGCGGGCAGAAGCGAGCGAGGGCGCAGTGGAGAGGCGCATCCTGGAGATGGCAGCGACGGGCCAGACAAGTTGTGAATCACACTCCGTAGGGTGGATATTCTAGCAAGCCACAGTCCGCGCTCTCGGCAATGTACCATACAGTGCAATACCTACTGTACAGAATAATAGTACACAATGTTTCCCAGATATTTACGGAGACGATGCACATTGAGAGGCAATTGATTGCAAGAGGACCATCATAAGGCAGAGGATGCCGAAAGATAGGCGTCCTCAACGCTGAACGAAGACTCCTCTTTGGGTTCAACTGGCTGCCCTAACAGTTACTGAGCCTGACATGCAAAGACCAACTAAAAGTGGAGACCATTTATAGAAGTCGACTCTAACAAGAAGGTGTCAGGGTGTGTATTGCGTATGGGGAAGAAGCAGGGAAAGAGCTTGGGGGCTAGTTGACCAAACAGGATCAAGTCCAATGCTGTTTCGATTTCTCAACAAGTTCCGTTGGTCAAGTTACCTGGCCCATGGCGTCTTTTCAACGAACTGCTCACTTTGTCCTGTGTCAGTGGGGATCTGATAGCAGAGTGAACTACCCTCCTTCGGTCCTGAAATTGCTGATAGGTGCACTAACGAAGCCTGGTTTGTGTCCTGCTACCCATTATCCCCTAAATTCGCTGCAGGATCGGCCATTGAAGGCAGCCCGGAGAGACCGACTGACTAGGCTCGGTGTGATGCTTGAGATTTTGATCTCCCGTCATCCAGAGTGGTCTTGCCGAGGCGCGTGTTCGGCGCTTAGACTTACCTTACATATTGGCAGAATTGGAATTTCCCTGTAGTAGGAAGTCAAGTGCCGCGCGGACCAGAATAGCCATCGTTCGAGATTAAACGACCGCAAGCGCCAGTCCGCTTGGTCAAGCTCTATCTTGCAGCACCCTGTTCATCAAGATAGTCTGCGAGCGGCAATGTAAGGCAAACTTGTCAAGTAACCCTAGGTACGAGGACCACTCGTGATATGGCAGAGAATTCACTTCACGCCCGCTCCAATAGCCCCATGATTCCAGACGGACAGGACAGCTTTCAGCATCCCTTCTTCCGCTCCGCCTCTTGTTGCAAACCACTGGCTATACCAACTCCCAACATGTGCTCAGGCCTCCATATCCCCGGAGGCCAAATCACACCCACACCCGGCCTCTTGACCTCTGATCCAGCCGTGGTCTGCCCTCCCTTCGTTTTCCTAACACTGGTTTGGATTGATCGAAGCCTGCTGTTCTGGGCATGGTCATAAAGATGTTGTGCCTCCAATTCACGTGCAAGTGCAACCGGGCCGGTTGCTGTTCGAGGCCGTTCCTGGAGGCCGCTTCAGTGTTACCTGGCTGCGCCTCTGATTTGCATGTGGCATGTACCCAAGTACACGACAAATGCACGACCCGACGGGTACTCTGTACCACCTGGTAGTGCTTGGGGTGGCGATGCCACGATACGGGGGATAATTTTCCGGTGCAATCTCCCCCTGGGCCTGGGCTTCCTCCCGAGGCGATGAGGTCGCATCAAGGGCGGCCATTTACCCTCTACCGTCCCTAGGGTCTAACCAGCGTATGTACATATGCTTTGGATACCTCCTCCTTTGTCAGTTTTCCTTTCAATCCAACTAGTTAGGAACCAGGGGTGAGTGAATTACCTGCATATCCGCATCTCTCCGTTCCTGGATTGCAAAATGCTTGACCGGTGCGGATTATTATGGTAGCAATCTCTGCCATTCCCAGCCAGAGATACATGGGTGCCGGCGAAATTGCTGGGTTTTTTGGCTGATTTCAGGATGGCAGTTTAGGCTTTACTGGCCGCGCCTGTGCCTACCAGACGATACCCTGCCGGGCGAGCCGCGCCAAGGCGCGCTTCGACGACTGTTTTCTGTCTGGTGCATATGCATCGTTGTTCAAGAGTCGGAGTTTGAGCGAAGATATTCTTGCTCAGCTGGGCCGGAAATGCGACACTGGCTATCCTGCTTGGAAACCATGTGCGGAACTCGTGCCGGAAACGGCCAGAAGAGAGACGCCGGTTCATGGGCTGTCTGCAAGTCGCGTCGAGCATACAAGCAGTCCTTGTGCAAGGTAGGTGTAGGGTATTGTGTGTACTGTACAATACGTGTACAGTACTCCGAACATGAATGGTGTGGAGACTAAGATCCAGCCATCCGGCTTCACGGGCCGGTAAGGCAGGTCAACCGCACCTATGCCAGTCAGCGCGCTCAAATTCGGTCAAATGTGTCCATCGCCCATCGCCCGAGTGAATAGTGAACACCGGCATGGGCAAGTGCCATGTCCCGGACGCTTCCTACGGAGGGGCCTGAGTTCTGTCAAACTGCATGCAAAGGGGAAAGAAAGAGAACTAACTTATAGCGACCCGTTTCTCGCTGTAATGAGCTCCGCCGGTAGGCCTGATGCCCTGTTCTTGAAGGGAGAACCAGATAGGCCCAACGGAACTGCTGCTGCTTCTTTGTCCCTCCATCCTTTCCTCGGGATATGATCGCTGCAAGCCTGTTCACATACTTTTTCTGGTTATGATACGCTGCTCTCGTTAGTTGAAGCGACGAGGCTCCGTCCAGCCCGGGTCCGCAGGGCGGTCTCGCGGGTGGCACTTCTCACTGCTCTCAGGTTACGCTGTCTTGGCCTTTATACAAGGCCAGAAGAAGGGGTTCCGTAATCGTTACACTGACTCCAGGAGTTTCGAGGTCGAGGCGCGAGGCAAGGCAGCTCAACTCCTCGAATGAGCTGTCCGCTCAAAGCTCGTAGGAGAAAACCTGGTTTCCCAATCGAGCAGTGTTGTACTCTGGTCTGTTGGAAATTTGAGATCAGCGGCCATGGCTGGCCATGTAAACGCTGGCTCAGGAGGTATGTCAATCATTCCGTTTCTTGCTCCAACATGACTTGGGCGCTCAGGAGTGTCAGTGATGCTGCTGTCAAGGCTGATCGTGGCTCTGCTTCGACCTTAGATTGAAGCGGCAGACGAGCAGCAACTGCTCCTTACCAAGGCAGGATACAGATTGAGATGATTACCAAAGTCATGGATAGTGGTTGGAGATTGGAGAAGGCCACGGCAAGTGCCGAATTGTTATTCGCACTTCGAAAAGGCGTTCTTGACTTACGGAATACGGATGGTACTAAGGAACTAAGGAGATCATTGACCAATAAAGATTCGGAAAAAGATCAAGTGGGGCAAAAGCTGACAGGGCAAAGCAAGAGAGCTCAACGCCAGACCTCTAGCGCACTGTACAGTACAAGAACCACCCATGACGCCACTCTTGACAGGAGGAAGCATCGCAACCTTCCCGTGACTTCCCTGCAGCATTTCTTGGTGACAACGAAATCGTACAACGCCTGGATGAGAGGGTTACTGTGCCCTTGAGATTTCCTGAAATAGTACTGTAACCTTGGGTGCATCCTCTAACTCCCAACACGGTGGCGGGCATCTTGTGGACGGGTTCCGCAGCTCCTTCTGGGGACGCTGCAGCATCGGCAAAGGCTGTAGAGCACCCAATATCCGACGTAATGACCCAACCCTCAGTTTTACCACCTCTCACTCCTCAGTTCTGCTTTTCGACGGTGGTGCTCCGAGGTATGTATGCCACATGGACATCACCGGTGCCCGCGCCAACAATTTGGCTGACCACGATGCAGACTTTCTACGGCTATCGCGAAGCTCGATCGATGACACCATAACCCAGAATCTGAACGCTCTGGCAACGCCGGCGAAAGCAGGGTTTGACCCGACCTCGACGTCACGGCTCGGGACTCGATCCGTTTCGCGCCAAATCGACGCGGCATCCTGCCAGGCGTTTAAAGACAAGGTTTTATTTCCATCATGGCAGGCCCGATCCGACGTCCTGAGCTATTGTTCCTTGGTTGCTACGAGTCCTGACCCCGACGACCCAGAAGCAGCGCTCAGAGAGGCTGAGAAAGAGAAGAACAGAGAGAAGGTTGTCGATGAGAGGCTCGATCCGTACTCGGCACGGTTCTTCCCCCGCGAGGCGCGTACTGAGCAACTGGCCATGATCGTCCGGCAGGAAATGGGGGTGGAAAATATAGTCAGGTCTAGGACTTGGGATATAGTCGGGGAGAGATGCGGAGATTCTACCCGTGCTGCTTGGCAAGATGCACTTGCAGAATGGAGGAAGTCCAAGGAACCTTCAGAGATCCGTCGGTGAACCGGTGTCAAGGAAAAGAGCATACACATGCATGTATTGTACAGTATATACCTACCGCATGGGGCCTTGTGACTGTAAGATAGCGACAGGCAATCTTGTACACACTCGTGCTTCACTTGGTTATAGCCTTGATTGTATACCTTATAGATACTGATCTCGGCTTTCATGCAATATGTTTCTCTGCCTTGGCAGAAAAACGGATACATTGCAGCATCATCTCTGTGGGATTTGACATGGAAGCGGATTCGTGTGTCTGGCAGACTCATTCCTCTAAACTGCCCGCGATATTTCTGCTCAGCTCGGCTCTATTCCGGTGCCAAGGACCGGAGCTTAGATGGGTCCCTCCCGAGGCCCGGGCATTGGTGGGGCTCACAGGACCTCTTGTGTTGCCAAGCCCTGAAATCAATCCCGCTCCCGCAATCTGCGACGTGCAACGCCAACACTATCAAGCTGACGTGCCCTCACTCATCACGGGAAGAGGGTTTGGTTTCCAAACTCGGGTTGGACCCTGCAAGCCTCTGGCGACCTGGCGCATCTCTGCCCATCATAGCGCCGCCATCTTAACGTTGGAGCCCTCTTCGTCCCACCGGCATCGTCCAACACCTTGCTTTGCTTGCAGCCTTCGGCTCGATCTTGGACATCTTTTCGCCGACGTCCACTATCCGTATCTCCTCCTCCTCTATTGAGCGAGCTTTGCCGTGGCTTAGGCCTTCTCCAATCAAAACCCCCGTGACCGCTCGCTCTCAGGGCCAACTGATCCGTTTCCCGGTGCGCGCAGCCCCGCGGTCGATCCCCGATGCCGCAAACGCTCAGTACGAGAGAGGCCAACCTCTTTCGTACCGTCATCCGCAACTATGAAGACAAGCAGTACAAGCGCGGCCTGAAGGCGGCCGAGCAGATCCTAAAAAAGAACCCCAAGCACGGAGACACAATGTCAATGAAGGCCCTAATCCTCAATGCCCAGGGCAAGACCGAAGAGGCATTTGCCCTGGCCAAGGAGGCCTTGACCATTGACATGAAGTCGTATATCTGCTGGCACGTCTACGGAATCCTCTACCGCACCAACAAGAACTTTGACGAGGCCATCAAGGCCTACAAATTTGCCCTGAAACTCGAGCCGGACTCACATCAGATCCAACGCGACCTAGCAATCTTACAAATTCAGATGCGCGACTACCAAGGCTACATCCAGAGCAGATTCACCATGCTCAAGGCGAGACCCCATCTGCGCCAGAACTGGACTGCCCTTGCCATCGCCTACCACCTGGACGGCAACCTCCAGCAGGCCGAGAATATTCTGACCACATACGAAAAATCCATCAATACTACCCCGCCCAGGACCGACTTTGAGCATTCAGAAGCTCTATTGTACAAGAACTCGATTATTGCCGAAATGGGTGAGATCGAGCGTGCACTGGAGCACCTCGAGACCGACTGCAAGCGCAGTCTGGACCGACTGGCTGTCATGGAACTGCGGGCCCGCTACCTCTCCCAACTCGGACGGAACGAAGAAGCGGCAAAGGCATACCGAGCACTGCTGGACAGGAATTCTGAACATCCAGATTACTACAAGGGTCTAGTGGGGGCGCTAGGAATAGCCGCTGACGACGAGGCCGCCTTGAAGAGCGTGTACGACGAGTATGCCGCCAAATACCCTCGTTCCGATGCCGCGAAGCGTCTTCCGCTAGATTTCCTGACCGGTATGCAAATCCTGGCTCTGCTGATGGAACCGTTCGCTGACTCTATTTCCTTGTCACAGGTGACGCCTTCCGCACGGCCAGCAAGGCGTACTTGACTCTCATGTTCGACAAGGGCGTCCCTTCGACGTTTGCAAACCTGAAGCACCTGTATTCTGACCCGTTCAAGAGGGATACGTTACCGGTTCTGGCGGAGGAGTACCTCCGAGAGTGCGGCAGTGTTGATGAGGGTGCGGGCAGCGGTGATAGCTCCAAGGGCAAAGGAGCGGCTCTCTACTTCCTAGCACAGCACTACAACTACCACATGTCCCGTGATCTCGCACGCGCTATGGAGTTCGTCGACAAAGCAATCGAGTTAGATCCCAAAAACGTCGATTTCCACATGACCAAGGCCAGGATATACAAGCACCAAAACGAAATCGGAAAGGCTGCAGCCACTATGGACCATGCTCGCTCTCTCGACACCAAGGATCGCTATATCAACTCCAAGGCCGCGAAATACCAGCTGCGGAACAATGCGAACGAGGAGGCCTTGGCGACCATGGGCCTCTTCACCCGGGCAGAGACAGTGGGCGGCCCCCTGGCCGATCTCACGGACATGCAGTGCATCTGGTACCTGACCGAAGACGGCGAGGCGTGGCAGCGGCGGGGCAACATTGGGCTTGCCCTCAAACGCTATCACACCGTGTTCAACATCTTCGACATCTGGCAAGAGGACCAGTTCGATTTCCACACCTTCTCGCTGCGAAAGGGCCAGATCCGCGCATACGTCGACATGGTGCGCTGGGAGGACCGGCTGCGCGAGCATCCCTTCTACTTCCGCGCCGCCCTGGACGCCGTCAACCTGTACCTGTCAATGTACGACAAACCGCAAGGCGGCGCTAACGGCGTTGAGAGCGGCAGATCCCAGTTGAACGGCGAGGACGCGGCCGAGAGAAAGAAGGCGGCCAAGAAGGCAAAAAAGGAGGCGCAAAAGGCGGAACGCGAAGCGGCCGAGAAGGCGGCCAGGCAGGACCCGAACAAAGCAGGCGGCGCCTCCCAGAAGAGCAAGGACGGCGAAGAAACCAAGAAGAAGGACGACGACCCGAACGGGACAAAACTAGCCGCTACCACGGACCCGCTCGGCGACGCCATGAAGTTCCTGGGACCCTTGCTCCAGTTCAGCCCCAAGAACATTGAGGGCCAAATCGCCGGCTTTGAGGTTTATATCCGCAGGGGTGAGTTTCCCCATCCCAAAAGACAAGCCGATTCGTACGTATGCTGATGAATTTTGCTTTGCAGGCAAGTACCTCCTCGCGCTTCGATGCTTGAGGGCGGCATTAGCGCTCGACAGGAACCACCCTAAAGTCCAGGAGCAAGTCGACAGGCTCCAGAAGGCCCTCGGCGGTGCCTTGGACTCGCTCGCGCCCAAGCTGCAAGAGGTGATCAAATCCGAACTCGCTCTCGTTACCGCAGTCTAGCCTACATGGAAACCGGGAACTGCGGTTGGGACGCGTGCGGGAAATTGCTGGATATGAAGGGTGTCTCAGCGCCCTGGTTTGTCTGGGCCGAGCCTACACTTCAGGGGCTATTTGCTCTGGCGAACTGTTGCTCCGATGGCCGGTAGAGACCTCAGTCGTCCTTAGCGGCCCAAAAACGGTGTGAACTAAAATCAAAGGTGACATTGTATAAACAGCACAGTTCTCTAGACGGGCAGCATGGATGGGGTGGTGTTCGCTTGCATGGAAAATCTGTTCTGTTTTGCTCCAAAGTGTCGCGGACGGCCGCGCGATGTTGGTACCTCCTACGGGTATTGGGTCCGAGGTGTCTCCAGATACAATCTACGGATTAACGTTCGAATCATCGAATTGATCGCGTGTTTCACAGTACGTGGCATTGTAACAGTCCTGAGAAGAGAGGTTTTCTAGGGCGTGTAAAGCTGGCAGGGTGGAAATGTCCTCCTACCCAGCACATGCTCTCATTGGCCAGCTGGGGTTTTCTATTGATGTGCAGAGAACTACGGGAGCTCCCGCACCACCTTATCTATAGCCTTAGCGACGTACTCGACATTCCTAGTGTTCAAACCTGCCATACTGATCCGGCCATTCTTTGTCATGTAGATGTGAAAATCCGACCGCAGCTTAAGAACTTGAGCCTCGGTCAAGCCCGTGAAACTGAACATGCCAATCTGGTCCGTGATGTGGTTCCATTTGCCGGGCGTACCGAGCTCCTCGAGCTTAGACCGCAGCGCCTGACGCATCGCAATGATGCGGCCTGACATGGTCCGGAGGTTCTCCTGCCACTCGGCGAAGAGGGCCTGGTCGTTCAGGACAATCGACGCGATTCGCGCGCCATAGATGGGCGGGTTGCTGATTTCGGACCGCTGCAGGATGGCAAGCTGCGAGGCGACACGGCTGGTGATCTCGGCCGCATCAGATGAGGGCGCGGCTACAAAGTGGAAGCAGCCGGCGCGCTCGCCGTACAGGCCAAAGTTCTTGGCGAACGACTGTGCGATCACGAGCTCAACGCCCTGCTCGACGAATAAGCGGATGGACCCAGCGTCACGGTCCAAGTCGCCCGAGGCGAAACCCTGGTAGGCAGTGTCGAAAAAGGGGAAGTGCTTCTTCTCCTTCATCAGCGCTGCAATCTCACGCCACTGCTCGGGCGAGGGGTCAACGCCGGTCGGGTTGTGGGCGCAAGCGTGTAACAGGATGATGCTGCCGGCCGGAGCATCGGCCAGGGCCCGCTTCATCCCTTCAAAGTCTAGCCCCTTGGTCTCCTTGTCGAAGTACGGGTACGTGGCAATCGGCAGGCCGACATTTGTAAAGATCTGGTGGTGGTTTGCCCAGGTCGGGTTGCTGAGATAGACGGTGCGATGCACGCCATCGATCTTGTAGAATTTGGCCAAAAAGAGGGCGCCCAAGTGCACGGCACCGGTCCCGGAAATGGTCTGCACCGAAGCTACCCGCTTCTCCGAGATGGCGGGCGCCGACGGCCCGAGCAACAGCTCGGCAGCTTTGCCGGTAAGTGACGCAAGACCGGCAATGGGAAGATACTCGTGGTTTGCTTCGGGATCATTGCGCAGAATCTCGTCGGCCTGGCATTCCCAAGCAGTTAGCAAAGAAGCTCCTCAATCGGAGTGCGGGGTAGGAAGCTATTGGAGAATGGTGGGGCAAAACGAAGGAGGGGCAGGGTGCTTCACGCCGGCGCCGGGGAAATGAGAATGGCGTGGCCTTTCGAAACCGATTCACAATCAAGAAGCTGCCCACCTTCCGGACCACTGACAAAACCCAAGGCTTCCCGTTGTCGTCTCGATAGGCACCGATACCCTGTAGCAAAGTAAGGTTAGTATCAATCAGCGGAAACAAAGCGCTACACAGCGCTTTCGTAGATAAGAGCTGTGACGCACCAAATCGACTTTGTTGGGGCTCGGGTCGGCCTTGTATGCCCTCATCAGCCCAAACAGAGGGTCTTCTGGGGCTTGAGGCACCACATCGGGCGGGAAGCTTGTTATTGATGATGGCGCCATGTGGCTTGCGATGCTCTGTAATCGCGAAGAGGGTGAGGAAGTGGTAGATGAGGAGGGGAGAGCGGTGCGACGAGGTGGATTTGGCGGCATTTTTAATGGACGCTCTGCTATTTGTTCCGCTCAGGCTGGTTCCTTCCCCCTATACTAACGGTATGTACACTGCTGCACCGCAACCCTTTCCGCGGTAGGATGGGCGGCTCAATCCGTGGTCCCGGTACGTTAGTTAATTACAGCCCTGGGCTGCGCGGTCTGACAGGCTACTGCGGACAGCAGACTGCTTCGCTCGCTTGCAACGATTTGTCCGCGTAGCCTAGCGCGTCTCGTCTTTCCATCAATCGTGTGTCAGGAGACGAATAGTATGCTTCCGAACCGGGTCGAGGGCTCTTCGGGCAAGATGGCCGTATCGTTCGATTCGTGCGGCAAAGTAGCCGGAATTAAACAGACGCCAAAGGTGCAAGGGCGGGATGACGAGGAACAGAATAACCTAATGGAATGCTGAAAGGGAGCATATACAGTATGGCAGATTGAAACGCGCAGTCAATGCAAAAGAATCAGGGCTGTAAGTACTCTACGAGCAACGTCAGTGAGGTCAACCCGTGACCGTCAAGGCGCATGTGAAGCCGGATGACGGCCGAGTCACGCCGAGGCAACCTCGCAGATAACACTATCTTGTGCATAGCATACAAAGCTCGGTAACCAAGGTAGACGGGGGATTACCTGGTGCAATGCTAGGCGTCGACCGTCTGGTTGTGTCCTCACTTGTTTCACTTATTTAACAAGCCGAGGTTAACGATCGTACACCCATCCATTCCATTCCTATGTACTCCGTAGGGCAAGTTATAACGCTTGGCTTCGATTGGCTCCTGTCCCATGTTGCAGCAATGACTTGAATATCATGCTTTGACATTGAATATCTTTGCGAGTTGTGGAAGCAATCCATGCTCCATCGAGAGATGTGCTCGCCTTGGGGAACCTTGTGTCGGGGCACCTTGAAATACTCAAATCGGAGGTCGCCACAAAGAAGTGGTATTGTAGGTACAGTACAGGAAAGTTCGGAGATACCAATACGGATAGAATCTGACGGTATGAAAACAACCTATTTACTGTTGAATACTTACAGAGTACAGTACCCTTACCGGCACTATGATTACAGCAACGTACGATACTGTATATAAAAGTTTCTGCAGCTTGATAATGGCTTGAGGCAGCCAATCAAAGCTTTACTAACTGGGCTTCTACTTGTGGCTTGGCGTTCCCCTTAGCCAAGATGCGCAATGAGCATCAACAAGGGTTCAATCATTTTCTGCCAGGCGGACAAGATTTCGTCTCGGGACCTTCGTGTAACCATCTCTCCACGACTCCATGCAGAACCTCATCACGCCGCCGAATAGATCGTCTTGATGACACTGTCAACCACCATACGGCCTATAACCAGATATACCAATTTCACAGCATCGTAAAAGACCGCCCCGGACAAGCCAAGATGGCCTCCCAAGAGAGGAGCATGCCATTCATCAAGAACCTCGCCTCGAGCGGTTCGTCTACCCCACGATACCCATCTCACTTACCTCATCATCTCCTGCAATTGAATAACCAGACTAACAACCGCCCTCATATGCATGCGCACAAAAAAACAGACCGTAAAACCCGCACCTCGGCCCTCTCCTCACTACACACCTTCCTGTCAGCCCGACAGATCTCGTCGTCCCTCAGCGCGGTGGACGTGCTCAAGCTGTGGAAGGGTCTATTCTACGCGCTATGGATGTGCGACCGCCCCTTGCCCCAACAAGCGCTCTGCGCCGAGCTGGCCGATCTGGTTTTCATCCTCCCCTCGCGCGCGGCCGTCGTGACCTGGTTGCGCGGGTTCTGGGCCACGCTCGCGCGCGAGTGGACGGGCATCGACGTGCTCCGTCTCGAGAAGTTCCTGCTGCTTGTCCGCAGGGTCGTCGGGGCCGGGTTTAAGTGGATGAGGAAGGAGGCTGGTACTGGGGCTGGTACTGCTGGGAATAATAGGACGACAGGGGATGAGGGTGATGGTAAGGGGCGGGGTGGGAATTGGGATGCGGAGAGGGTGGACGATATCCTAGGGCTTTTGGAGGAGTGGCCCTTTGCGCTTGCCGATGAAGCGCAGATTGCTGGACAACAGGGGAGTGCCGAGGGCGACGGGCAAATACCGCAAACGATACCGGCCGGGCTGAGGTTGCACGTACTGGATATTTGGGTCGATGAGGCGGAGAAGGTGGGCTTGCTGGAGGAGGGGGACGAGGAGGCGAGCAGGATTATCCAGAGGATCATCGGGCAAGTGGACGCGCTGGAGCAAGCGACGACGAGGCCGGCTGTGCGGGTCAGGTCAAAGGAGTCCCTCTCCGACGAGCGGCTTCCGGGGAACAGAAAGCCCCTCGCGGAGGCAGGGATTGGGAAGGACATGGACGACGGTCCCGGTGACAGTGGCAGCTGGGATGGGTTTGAGGACTAGACCAACGTGCAATGGAATAGAGTGTAACACATCACTTGCGCCTCATCATTCAACCTTTGCCAACCCAGCTAACCAGATCTTCAAAACATGCGCGGCACTTTGGCCGGCTCTATGTAGGCAATGCAAATAGTATGCTAGGTGTCAATACATGATAATACACTGGGTATGCAACGCCGACAATCATTCAAGCCAAAAGCCTCTCGCTGTTGGTGACAGTATCCCAGTTCTGTGGCCCCGGGGCCTCGAACATGCCCTTCTTAGATAGCGTCAAGCCGAGGCCCTGGTGCACCTCAGCCTGGAATGGTCCAAAGGGTATCGCCTCCCCGTCGATGCTGATGTAGCCAGGGCCCTGGCTGCGTGGAATGACGCGGTAAGCCGAAACCTTGCGGTACGATACGAGGGGGCTATCAAAGAAGTGCCCGGATTCAACCGACAGTTGTAGCCCCATGGACTTCAAGGGTGAAATATCGCCGTCCGAGGTGATCAGATCCATGAGACCGTCATTCGCAAGGGCGGCCGAGAAAAAGTTGAGGTCAGGCGCCATGTATGCCATCTATGCATGGGGTCAGCTGGGCTCAAGGGGTGAGGGTGGTAGGACTAAGCCTGGGGGCCCGGGCTTACATTGCCGCAATAGAAGCTACCAAGCTTTTCGTGAGGAACAATCTCCCATCCGTCGGGCAGCTTGTCCATGACCGTGCCATACTTCAGGGGCGGGAGCCCTAGTCCATTGTCGCTTTCGGCAGACTTGGAGTCGGGCGTTGAGACACTGGACTGCTCGTCACCCATGTTGGACCGTGGGTCCCGGGATTGGTCGCGGAGCCGGGAGTTCTCCGGGCCAGATTGTATGACCTGCTGTCGATAGTGTTTTTTCACGTCTTCCTTGTTCTCGATCTCAACCTTGACGGCGATATCGCATGGGTACGTCTTCCTCTGGAATGCGAGCATCATGAAGCCACAAGCAAAGCGGGTTGAGCCCATCCACCGCAGATGCTCGGTGCCAAGATCCAGCTCTGCAATCATGCCCAAAGCCTGGCTTAGGAAGCTTATGGTCCGCTGGTCACCGTGGGTAATGCTGACCAAGTCCAGCGGGGTGGGCACGCCCTTGACGATGGCCAAGGCCGCAAGAGTTGGCCTGTGTGTGCCGTACAAGTTGCAGCTCATTGCGTTGCCGGACCCGCAGGGTATGTGGCACACGGCAATCTTGGACAGGGCGCGGCGGGCATCGGCACGCTTGGCCAGGCCGTTGAACACCTCATGCGGCAAGCCGTCTCCCGAGCACGGGACAGCGATGTCGTAGTCGTCGATGTTGATGTCCCGAGCAAGGTCGACGGCTTCGCCAGAGTAGGTGGTCCGCACCACGGTCATGGGCATGCGTGCGGCCACGAAGATGGGTCTCACCTGCTGCTCCCATATCTTGTCGGCGCCGCCAGGACCGGCATGGGGATTAACTAGAACCCATGCGCGCTTACGGCGAGCGGCGCCGGCATAGGCGCGATCTAAGAGGCGCTCGATCCATGAGGAAGTGTGGTCCTCAATAGGGGTAGTGGATGTGCCCTCGATGGCAAGCTCGGATAGGGCGAATTTCGCACTGCGGGCAACCAGAAAGTGAGGCCGTTCCTGGTCAGCGTAGTCTACGTTGAGCCACCTGCGGTCGGCAGTAACCTCGGCCCAGAGGATGTTGTAGTAAGGAATGCTGTTTGGTGTGCCCTTGGTCGCTGATTTCAAGAGAGCAAGTCAGTTGTTGGGCGAGATAGTTTCCTCGATGATTTACAGCAATCCTCACCTGAAACTGGCAGGCAAGAAAGACATGAGCGACTGCGCTTGGTCGCCAACTGACCTGTAAATTGAGGTTGCCAGTTAGCAAGCAGCACCAACCAAGCCAGTAGTGGTGCAATCGAGACATACCAGACATGACCAGGGCATCCTCGGCGAGGGTCAGGGTGACTCCCGGAGATAGGGAGAGTACATCATCAGCGCTGATTTCATTTTCGGCAGCCTGCGGCCGTCCCGGCTTGGACGAGCGCGCAGGCGCGTCTGGGTGCATCTTGTCGCGTCGTCAGCTGCGGCCGCCAAGAGCTGTAGATGTGATTCGCGCGTGAGGAAGCTGCATGTGACAGTTGTGGCCAGCGCACTCTGGGACACTGACCAGGCCAGAACTTGAGATGTTGGCTGGTTGGTGAAGCAACTTGAACTGTTGTAAGATTGCTGGGGCCGAGTCTCGTATTAAGCTACAGTGTCTAAGCACAACCAGGTACCTGTATCCTCGTTTATTGTGACAATATACAGACACTAGGGCGTAGTACTGATAGATACGATGATAAACGGATGCGCCGGAAGAGGGCAGGTATTGTACTGTAACAGGTATGATAGTTTTAGCGCACTAATCACAGTACGTAAAATACATTTCGCTTTCAGTCTGTATCGTACTACACGATAATTACTTGTATACAACAGTAATTCAACTAACGGTATGTAAAGTAACCAACTAACTAGTAAGGAAAGTGTAGGCCCCTAACAGCAGCGTTTTACGATGCTAGTTCTCGATCTAGGGAGGAATCTAAGTTCCGCATCACATTTCCCAGAGGCTGACTTAGATGTGGGCAAATTAGTTAGGTTACTTCAGCAGCAAAATGTTGACCAGATAGTTACATAGGTGGATATCATAATCGTCTATCAAATTGCCATCAAGCCCAGCTAGCAACTAAATGAGAGGTAGGTACCTATCTATCAACTTAAGGTTTTCCTCACATATCCCATCTCTCATCATATCCAAGTGGAAAGTACGATATAGGGAGCCCGGGGTCATATTTTACTCGCATTGGTCTGAGGGAGAGTACCCGCCGTATCTACACGTACCTTTCAGCTACTGTAATCCATGGATGCATCATGTTGACGTCTCACTTATCCATGATCCTTCCTGGTGCAGTACCTTGGAAGATTACCAAGCGATAATAGATCCGCGCAAACTTCGGTTGCGCAACCGCCGTTAAACTATGGCGCGAAACGCCGTGTGACAGGATATCCAGCTTCGGTGAGACGTCTAGTGCTTTTGACGCGAGACTCGATGTACCACTGCCACAGTGGTATCTTATCCAATTCCGGAAGCTGTAAATGCTCGCCGTGGTGAAGAGAAGGGTTATGATCGGTGGCGGAAAGAAGGTCTACCGTCTCGAGCAGAAGTGGTCACGCTGGTATAGTAGTGCGAAGAGTCACGGCTAGTACTAGTAACGACCTAGTAGCGAGGGTTGCAACTATTCAATCGGCCCCGAGAGGACTCGAGGGCGGTTCGAGATCGAGAGTACATGACTGCTTTGGAACCGGGCGGTATTGCACTTACAATCGCGAGATGGCTGGGTAGGTCGTAAAGGGCCGCGAGGGCGACAAGGGGACAGAGCAGGGAGCGGACAACACCAGTGACGGCAGTCACGGGCTGTAATAGCCGGAGGAAAATCAAGTGAGTCAGTATTCAAAGCTTACGGGGCTCAACTATTTGTACTTTGAATTCTGCTTGGCTCCTGCTTTCTCGGGTTGCTTCAAAGTTTCTACGGAGGCTGAAATAAACCATGGGCTAAAGGAAAGTAGATTCTCAATGTCATTATGATGGCTCGTTGTTGTACCCTAGGAGGAGAAGGTGCTAACTGATTTCTCTGTGTAGTGTGTACTGTCAGTACAGTCTTGTACCTTAGGTATAACCAGAAAGATTAAGACCGACTTTCCTGCACCATGCCAGAGCTCAGGCTTCAAGCCCAGTCCAGCCGGGCCGCAAAGCGTACTATTAGTCAAGGGAGGCTTCGATCTCCTTTGAGGAGCGGATGAGGCGTCATGGACTGAGAGGCAGCCCTGCAAAAGGTACCTACTTAACCTGGGTACCTAATTTAGCTACGACTCACTTGAAGCTGTCGCGAATCCTTGTGAAATCTTTCTGGTGACCGAGTTGCCGGTATAGGTGCGGACACGACCTCATCGTCACCTCCAACCTTGTTACCAGGACCTAATCCCAGAATGATGGGGTTGATGGCATGTTTACGTGATGGGCCTTTAATTAGCGAGAGATCTGTTCGTAAGCACCTGTAGATACCTGAGGACTGACGTAGATGCCTTCTCCTGCGCGGCAAACTTCCATGGCATTGTGCTTTGTTACCTTAGTCAGACAGCCATCAAGTTATCTCGATATATCGAGAGCATCGAGAGTTTCATTGGCTGCCTACTGTGTCAGTATCAGCAGTGGACTGACCGCAGGCAGTGAACCGACTGCATCACTGGCAGACTGGTAAGCCGCCTTGGCCTTGTCTCACGTAAGTGATTTGATTTGACCGAGGAGCGTCAGTGTACATACTATGCCTACCTACACATAACATACAACGCCCCAATGTCGGTTGCTTGGGTGGAAAACGTTGAGCCGGGCCCCCAACCCAACGGCCCCAACAGTCTGGACAGACCCTGCAGTGGTATTGAGCCTCGGAGTACTTCGCACGAAGTATCTCATTTAATATCTTACATATCATGTTAGCTCATGCATGTAAGATTGGGCGCCCCCAACTGCACACTACGCAGCCAACCCAACAGCACGTCTGCCTTCGAGGTCGTGGACAGGGGACATGGACCGGCAAGTGAACTCGGGCGCCCAACATTTATATTACTAGTAATGACACCGAACCCAAGCGTTTCGCGAATATTGCTTGTTGCTGTCAACGCTGTGTACCTAGCCTTTTTGGTAACACATTCCAGTCATCACCATGGCGAGTCTAGCTTCCTGGCAGAAACTGGAGAGCATCACTCCCAGCGAATGGCTGCTTGTGCTGGTGTTGACCGGCTCTCTGCTTGTAAGTAGAGATCGTCAACTGACTTGTGCTTCGTCTCTTGCCAACCTCCCCGCTAACCCCTGAGCTCAGTTCACGGCAAATGCCATCTACAACCTGTACTTCCATCCACTGGCTCATATTCCGGGCCCGTTCTGGGCTCGCGCGAGCGGCATCCCGTCTTGGTGGCACGCAAGAAGTGGCAAGCGTCACGTCTGGCTGTGGCGGCAGTTCCAGATATACGGCAACAAGATCCGCGTGACGCCCAACACGGTGCTGTTCTGCGACACACAAGCCTATGCCGATATCTACAGCAATAAGTCCAATGTCCGGCGAAGCCCATTCTATTCGGCCTGGAAAAGGGATTCTCGTGAGAATCACACGCTCAACACCATCGACGTGGCCGAGCACGCTCAGAAACGCAAGCGTCTCAACATGGCCTTCACCGAAAAAACAACACGGGCCGCTGCAAGCTTCATCACGGACCATGTCGATCGATGGAATGAACTGTTGGTGCCAGAGGAGCGAGGCAAGACCGGCGACTGGACTACTCCTGTGGACTTGTCGGAAAAGCTTGACGCTCTAGTGTTTGATATCATGGGCGACCTGTGCTTTGGCAGGTCCTTCGACGTCAAGGAGCCCGGGTACAACCCGCTAAAGGCGGTCCCTCACAGTATCGTCGAGTACATGAAGTTCTATTACCCGGTAGGCCCTCTCTCCCTCCTCACCAAGTGCCTTTACTTGCTCTGCCATCCGAAGCTAAGAACCGGACGGAGCCATCTAGATCTGCCGGTCGCCCGTCCTCAGCCTACTCCTCTGGCTCAAGCCGCGCGGCCTGAACCGCATCTTCGCCTTCCTATCCCCGCCAGCCGCCAGGCTCTACCTCAAATTCGTCGACGATAGCACCGCGTCGCGCATTACCCTAATGGAGAAGCAGGCCTCCATGCAAGAAGAAGACCGCCGGAAGGACCTCTTCTACTTCCTGGCCTCGGCGCGGGACCCGGACACGGGCGCGTCCGTGTACCAGGAATTCGAGCTACGCGCCGAAGCCAGCCTGCTGATCGTGGCCGGCTCCGACACGACGTCCATCTCGCTCTCGGGCATCTTCTTCTACCTGACCACCAACCCGCAGTGCCTGGCCAAGCTTACCGCCGAGGTCCGCTCCGCCTTCTCCTCGGCTGAGGATATAGTCTATGGCCCCCGGCTCCTGGGCTGCGAGTACCTCAAGGCGTGCGTCGACGAGGGCATGCGGCTGGTGCCCGCGGGCCCGTGCGAGCTTCCCCGCGAGGTCCTGGAGGGGGGGTTGCTGGTCAAAGGCGAGTACTACCCTCCCGGGACGGTCGTGGGGACGGTGCCGTGGGCCCTGTCGCGGAGCCGTGCCGTGTGGGGGGACGACGCAGAGACCTTTCGGCCGGAGCGGTGGATTGTTGCCAACGAGGAGAAGGAGGCGGAGCAGCAGCATGGCTCCACCAAAGAGTCGGTCAAGCGCGCCCGCGAGGCCCATCACCCCTTCCTGAGCGGGCCGGGCAGTTGCGTGGGCAAGAACGTGGCCATGGTGGAGATGCTCATCGTCATCGCCCGGACGGTCTACCGTTTTGACATCCGGCGGGCGCCGGGTTCGACCGTCGGAGGGGGTAGTCCCGGCCAGGGCTACGGGCCGGATGATCCGGCGGAGGATCCTAGCCAGTTTCAGCTCTATGATGCGTACATCTCGCTGAGGAAGGGACCGGTGGTGCAATTCCGGACGAGAAGGGTGTAAGGAGGTGAAGGTGAAGTGACGCTCAGTGGCGTGAGAGACGCTTTTCCGAAGAAACGGATCCCTTGAATGTGGAACTTAAGGACGAGTAGTATATGTTGGTATGTACTATGATCTAGGCAATTGTTTCATTGCCTAGCCTCCCTATCACTCCTATTGAGTTTGGATACCGTATACCTGGCAGCAAAAAGTCAGTCAACAGCGAATGGCACCATACCTCAAGCTTTCTTGAACCTACTTCAAACATGAGGTCCCCCTAGGACAACCGCGCCGTTTAGAAGGGGCTTCCAGGTGTATCGCCCGACATTTCTTAAGTTCACAAGAATGTACTAGGAACATCTACAGTTGAACTTTGTTGTCCGGAACCTAAGGTACTTATCGCTGTCAAAAGCGAACGTATACCCGATCCGATTCAGTTGGGAGATGCCAGCACCGCATGGCCAGACTCAAACAATCAAATCCCACAAGATCAACACAGTACAGAGTCCCGCAGCAGCGAAAAAGGTGTAACGGGCTGGGCTCGGTCTGCCTACGCTCTTCTTGAGCTCCTGGTTTCCCTTGCCGATGCCCTCTATTGTCTCGAACGAGTCGGCAACCAGCTGGTCAATGTGTGCCGACTGCGTGGCAAGGTTGCTGACCAGCATGTTCTGGAGCTCGGCAATTTCCAGCAACGAGCTTTCGGCGGTTCTGCAGCATGGATGAGTGTATGGTTAGTCACGCTGGGCGGTTTGCTGCTGGGTTAGAGGGATGTTGAAAAAACTTGCCTGACTTTGTCCAGCGTGCTTTCGAGGTGCTTGAGCATGTCCTGGTTGCCCTTCTCAAACATCTGCACCTGCTCTTCCGTGAGATTGTCCGCTGTAGGTTTGTTCCTCGGTCCTTCCTCCGGTGGCAGACCGGTGGTACTCGAAGCTGCTGCTGCTAGGCTCTGCGGTATCCTTGCCGGCGCGGCCGGTCCTGTCGTCGCCTCGTGCGATGCCGTCGCCTTTGCCATAAGCGCACTTCTAGTCGTCGTAGAAGAAGCCTTGGCCAGCACGCTCCGGTTCTTCTCCATCTCCCTAGCCAGGCGCGTCTCCATCATACGCTGCTGCGTCCTCGTCGTCTCCTGCAGCCGGGTCCTCAGATACCAAATCACGCTCTCCCGATGCGCGCCAAGCTGCCGCGCCGCGGCCTGCTCGCTGGTCTTCCCCCCCGTAGCCCACGAGCCCAGAGCACCCAGGCCACGCGACATGCGCTTGCGCAGCAGAGCGGCCTCGGTGCTCTGCCGTAGTTGCTCGGCGTCCTCGAGGGCGCGGATGCGGGCGTTGAGGTCGCGGAGCGTCATCTTTGCGTTGGCATCAATCTCCTCCCGGTCGCGGTCTGTGAGGTACACGGGTTGCGAGGGTGCCGGGCGGGCCGCCGATACGCGAAGGTGGGTTTTGCGCGGGGCGGCGGTCGAGAGGTATGCCTGGCGCAGGTTGCGCAGCTCGGTGTGCAGGCGTGCAATGAGGGAGTTCTTTGGGAATAGAAGCATACGTATCAGCCAGGAGGGTTTGCCATCAGCGTAGAGTGAGGGGGAGGGAAGAACGCACTATCCGGTAGGCTTCCTTGAGGAATTCATCGGCAATGTCCAGACTGAAGGGACTCGTCGAGGGCGCCTCGTGGCCCTTTAGGAGGCCATTGAAAGTCGTCGTTAGGTCTGCCATGTCGGAAATGACCAGTCAATTGCTGGCAGCAGCCTTCTTTGGCCGTAGGTTGTAGAGGTGATTCGAGGTTGCGAAGTGGTGGACGTGGCTGATTTCCATGATGCTGTCAACAAGACTGTGGCTGCAAGTGGCTGTTGTGGCTCGTTAAATGGGCTTAATGGAGTGTAACATGTATCTCACATGGTAATAGTACATTACCGTACAATACATGCTCTGTACAATGTTACGTGCAGCAGACATAACCCTCGGCAACCACCACCGATATCGCAATGCCCCCCCAGCCCCTTGATATCAACCTGGAATGCTCTTTCCAACGTTAACATGCCTGCGCTTTGTATGCTTACGACAGGCTAGAGTCGGCGGGTACGGGTTTGCGTCCCATTCAATTATACTCTATTGTACAATACAATACCTGCTTGACCACTTACTGATCCCCAGGAAACATCATAACTTCATCTGGCAGTTCTTTCCAAGCCGACGTCCCGGGAGCCGCTATGCGCTGGTGCTCTCTTTGGCGAGGGCAGCAAGCCAGGCGCTCACTGGGGAATTAGCTATCGCGTGTCTTATACCCGGGACGTTGGAATGGGACCCGCCAGCTGAGAACATCCGTGCCGGACGTAAAGCCTGGTTCTACGGGTGCCGGTCCACCGGAACTGACGGCTGGCGAGGTGGGCGAGGTGGGTTTGAAGCTCGACGTCTCGAACTAGAAACGACCAGCGACTCGCGATACAGAATCTGTGTCCCCAGTGTCCCATTATTGAGTTTGGCCGTTCTTTTGGAGACGGTTCCTACAGTTGACAGTTGACATAGATCAGCACGTGCACTTCCTACCATATGTTCACCATCTTCCCTGTCAACAGTCAATACATTGATCTGCTCCGCCTTTCGAGTCGGGGGCCGCTTATTCCCGGCGTTGAGAGGTGCCGCTCCACCTTTCTACATGTACATACATACACAATTCACTCCGACCCGGCCACGTCCCGCTCCCTTACCGCCGTACTACCTATATGTATGCATCCTGCCAGGGATTTTGCAGTTTTAAGTACTCCGCGGTTCCTCGCCTCATACACATGTCTCGCCAATGGCCAGCACAAAGCATGAACCGTCCGACAACACCATGTCCCCTGATCCAGAAACCCCCGACGACCCCTCTCCGGGCCCCGTATACACCACCTTCTCCAAGTCCTCCAAGCGATGGATCATCGCCATGGCCGCGTTCGCGAGCTGTGCCTCGCCCATGACGGCCAACATCTACTTTCCCGCCCTGAACTCTCTCTCGGCAGACCTGGGCGTCTCGACCAGCCTCATCAACCTGACTCTCACCACCTACATGGTCTTCCAGGCCGTGGCGCCCACTGTGGTCGGCGACCTGGGCGACATGGCCGGCCGACGACCAGCGTTTATCCTAGCCTTCACCATCTACATCCTCGCCAACCTCGGCCTAGCCCTGCAGCACAACTACGCCGCCCTGCTGGTGCTGCGCATGGCCCAGAGCGCGGGGAGCAGCGGGACGCTATCGCTGAGCTTCGCCGTCGTCTCGGACGTGGCCGTGAGCGCCGAACGCGGCGTCTACATGGGCATCATCACGGCAAGCAGCAACATTGGTCCCGCCCTGGGCCCCGTGCTGGGCGGCATCCTGGCCCAGTTCCTAGGCTGGAGGGCCATCTTCTGGTTCTGCCTCATCTACGCCGCCGTTTGGCTCGTACCCTACGTCCTGACCGTGCCCGAGACGTGCAGAAACGTGGTAGGGAATGGCTCCATCCCCGCCCCGGCTTGGAACATGACGGTTATCGAGCTGTTCCGTTTCCGCCGGCGGCGTCACGATCAGAAGCAGAAGGAGAAGCATACCGGCCCCTTAATCACCCCTCTGGAGGACAGCCCTCCGAATCGAAACCGCAACCTGCGCTTCCCCAACCCATTCAACGCGCTGCGCGTACTTCTCGAAAAGGACGTCGGCCTGCTCTTGTTCTACGGTTCGCTGGTGTACCTCGTCTTTCTCCTCGTATGCGCAACGCTCTCCACGCAACTAGCCGAAACCTACCACCTCAGCGACCTTCAGGTCGGGCTGTGCTACCTGCCGTACGGGGTGGGGTGCGCTGTCGCCGCATTTCTGCAAGGGCTTGTCCTCGACCGGCACTACCGCCGCATCGCCACGCGCATCGGCTTCCCAATCGACTACAAGCGCGGGGATAACGACCTGCGCGGGTTCCCCATCGAACGGGCGCGCATCGAGCCCGTCTACCCGATCCTGTGCGTAGGCATCGCCGCTGTCGTCGCCTATGGCTGGGTCCTGCAGGCCGGGCACAGTCTCGCGGGGGTTTTGGTCCTGCTGTTTGTCATTGGGCTGTGCGTCGCGGGGACTTTCTCCCTGCTCAACGTTCTCGTCGTGGACCTCTACCCCGACGCCCCCGCGACTGCCGTGGCGGCAAATAACCTGGTGCGTTGTCTATTCGGCGCCGGGGGCACGGCCGTCATTGAGTCCATGTTTAGCGCCATGGGCAGGGGCTGGACCTTTACCTTCTGGGCTCTTGTTCTCGTGGTGTTTTCGCCTATTCTGTGGGCGCTGACCGTGAGAGGCCCCCAATGGCGAGAGGAGAGGAGGCTCCGGAAGCTTGAAGAGAATGAAAAGAATGCCCAGACAGGCGTGACAGATAGTAGCTGATAATTGCCTACTTGCCTGTGCCATCAAGAGGGTGAAAGTAGCGGCTTTCATCAATGATACCAACCTACACCCAAATGGTTAGGTGAGTAGGTACCAGGTAACTACCAAGGAACTACCTCAATAAGCTCTGACGTATAAGACACTCCCATACGGGAAGCCTCCCTTCCAGTCAGCCGAAGCCGGGCAATGTATGCACTAGGAGCCGGCCGCGCCTATCTTCCTCCCCACGGTGACCGGTAGGCGACCAAGCTGTCCTGCCTGAGCGCCATGATCATGCAATAGACCTATAAGTGTGCAAGCACATATTCTGAGATGCCGCACTGGAGGATGCGCGGTAGCAAAAAGGTCAAAGATGTATATGCAACCACAACCAAAACCGCTGGATAAGAACAACCAAAAACACAGAGACAGGCACATAGAGTGGAGAAATCCCAACCTCAAACCCCATCGCTGGTACATCACATTCATTCAACAATACTATACCGAACCAAGCCAACCATTACTCATCCGTCATCATCTCATATAAACCGGACACATGTGTGATCACCCCCCTCCAGTGAGCCTCTTCCACCAGGAGCTGCGGGGTGTCGTATCCGCGCCACCAAACAAGGCCGAGTTTCGCTTGCTGTCGCGACGGCCTTCGCCGCTGCCATCCGACGCGCCCATCCGCCGTTCCCTCTCCCTCTCGCGTTCCCTCTCCTCACGGCGCCTCCGTCTCCTTCTATCCTCCTCCGCCTCTTCCGCATTGGCGCCCGCCTCAGCATACCTAGCCTCGCGCCTTCTCGCCCTGCGAGCCTCGCGCCTTGCGGCCTCGTCATCAACCTCGTGCACGCCATTCATGTCATCAACAACACCATCCTCCCCGTTCTCCACCACCTCGGGCGGCGGCGGCGCATCCGAGTGTTCCTTGACCCACGACGACGTGCCCGAGTGGGGCCACGAGCCCGTGTTTTCCCTCGACGTCCTCGGGTAGGAATACACATACTGCTGCTGCTCGTCTCCCGAGTTCATCGTTTTGCGACTTGACCGTCTCTCGTCTCTACTACCTGCCTCCTTGGCAGCAGCAGCCTTCGCAGCATGCCTCGCCACTCGGTCTCGTCTCCGGCGCTGCCGCTCACGTTCTTCCTCATCCTCTTCGCGACCCGACTCGTCCGGATAATAGCTTTTGCGCCGCTCAGATCTGGCCGCGCGTCGCGCTTCGGCTTCCGCCTCGGCAGCGGCAGCCGCCTCCTGTTCAACCCTTCTTCTGCGTCGCTCGGCGCGTTCGGCTTCTTTCAGCTCGGCGGCGCGGCGCTCGGCTTCCTCGCGAGCGCGCTGCGCCCGTCTTTCGGCGCGACGGGCTTCCTTCTCTTCCTGACGGCGCGCTTCCTCCTCCTGTTCCAGCTTTCTGCGCTTATCGCGGCGGGCCTCGTCCTTGGCGCGCCGCGCCTCCTCGGCAGCAGCTTGCTCGGCAGCTTCCCTTTCGGCGCGACGAGCGCGGCGGGCGGCGCGGCGGGCGTCACGCTCAGCCTCCGTTTCTTCTGGCCTTTGTTTGGCAGCTTCGTCATCTGTGGTGGTTGGATACGTGCTACGACGGCGAGGCTCCGAACGCGGCGGCTCCGCGCGCGGGTTGAAGACGCCGCCAAATATGGACGACAAGCCCGACGGTTTCTTGGCCGAAGAGTTGGATCGTTTAAGAGGCGGACGGGAGGGAGTTGCGTCTGCGGCGTCGACCATGACAATGTCATCGTCTCGCGGATATTGCTAAAGTAGAATATGGTTAACCTTCTGGGTCACCTTAGCTGACTTGGACGAGATAGACGTACCCTTGATCGCCGACGCTCTGCTTTATCGGGGCTGGGAATTGCGTCGTTCGCGCCAACCATGACGATGTCGTCGTCCTCCTCGGCGGCGCCTGCGAACAAAGTTAGGGGCGGGCTTGAAAAAAGGAAGCGGGAGGGACAGGGAGCGATTCTCACTCTTCTTGATGCGTCTGCTGCCAGATCTGGACAGGCCGAGTCCTGCGCCGATACCCACGCCCAGGACCTTGGCCGCCTTGCTCGCCATCTCTTCGGGAGGAGGACTCATGATGCCGGTGCTCAAATCAACTGAGTGTCTCCGCGAACTCGACTTCCCGCTTGCGCTGTGACGCTTCTCCCGGGTGGAAACGGAGCGTGAGAGAGGCGGCGTGCTTGCGAATACACTCGGGAAACGGCCCGGGGTTTCTTTGGAGCGCACCTTTTCGGCCTTGTCAGAGCCGGACTCCTTGGATGACGACTTCTCCGCTTTGTCGGCCGCCGACGCCTTCTTCTTGGAGCTAGACTCCTTCTCTGCCTTGACTTTTGGCGGTGATTTCTTCGGCTCCTTGGTCGGGGTTGCCGTTGTCCACATGCCCCATGACGATGACCCGTCACGGTTGACCTTGGGCCGCTCCTTCTTGGATGATCGGACAAGGGGAGTCGATACTGGGGCGTCCGGCACGGCCGGTGGCGGCATAGGAACAGGAGGGGGCGGTGGAGGAACGCCGGCCTCTTCCGGAGTCGCTGAGGCCTTCTTAGTCTTTTTGCTGCTCTTCTTTGCCGGGGCCATGTCGACGATTTCTACAATCTCGTCGCCGTCAAACCCGTCACCGATATGATCGTCCTCGTCGTCAAGCGGAAAGCTGCCGGGCAAGCCGGACTGGGAGGCGCGTGGAGCAGCGGAAGCAACGGGGGGAGGTGGGGGAGGTAAGGGAGAAAACGCGTCAACGTCGATGATGAGCCCCTTGTTCTTGGCTTTGCTCTTTTTGGATCCGCTCTTCTTCTCGTCCTTTGGCGTGGCAGCTTGAGGAGCGGGAACGGGCGGTGGTGGCGGTGGCGCTAGCGACTCAATACGCGCGTCGTCGTCGGCGTCGTCATCGGCGTTATCGTCGTCAATCACCTGAAAGGCACGCAGGCGATCCGCGATTTTGCCGCTTACAGCCTTCTTGGACTTCATCGACTTGACCGTTTCGGGTGACGGTGAGGTGGCCTTCCACACCTCGGTGGCAGACGCGCCAATCGCGCCGAAACTGGCAGCTTCCAGAACCTTGGATGACTCAGCAGACGCAATTTCCGGCCCTGGTGCCGCATGGGGAGGGGTATCCCATGCGTCAGGTAGCATTGAACCCTTCTTGGATTTGTTGGAGCTCGACTTCTTGGCGGCCCCCCAAAAGCTGAAGGGGTCTTCGGCTGCGGGTGCGGCGGCTGTAGCAGCAGCAGCAGGAGGAGAAGCCGGAACCACCTCCTTGGGCTTGTCGGCCAGTAACTCTTCGATCTCCTCTGCTGTGAGCTTGACGTCCTTGAACTCGTCGTCTTCGATGCCGCGGCTCTTGGGCTTGTCCTCCTCCTCCTCCTTGGCCTTGGCTTTGTTCTTCTTGTTCTTTTTGCCTTTCTTCGTGGATGATGCTTCGGCCTCCTGCCGGTCGCGGTCGGCCTTTTCTTGCCGTTCTCGCTCAGCCTGCTCCTCCCGTTCCCGCTCAGCCTGCTCTTCCCGTTCTCGTTCCGCCTGTTCCTCCCGTTCCCGTTCGGCCTGCTCCTCCCGTTCCCGTTCAGCCTCCTCTTGCCGCTCGCGTTCAGCCCTCTCCTCGGCCTCTTTGATAGCCTTTTCTTCGGCTTCTTTGATGGCACGCTCCTCCTCCAACTCCTTCTGTCGCTTTGATTCCGCCTCTTCAGCCTCGCGTGCCGCCTTCTCCTCGGCGCGCTTCTTGATGCTTGCCGTTAGACGGTCGAACTTCTCTTGGTCGCTCTTGTTCAGCTTCTTCTTTTTCGCGCTGTTCTTTTTGGCCGTCAGAACTGCCAGCTCTTCCTCCTCCCTCGCTGCATCAGCAGCTTCGGCGTCCTTGCGCGCCTGCTCCTCTGCCTCCTGCCGCTGTCGCTCCTCCTCTTCTAGCCGCTGGACTTCCTCTTCCTCGTGCTTGGTCTGATCCTCGTTGCCTGTGCTCCATGAATTGAAGAAGTCGTCGTTTTCCAGTGAACCGGCTCCAGCAGCCGACTCCCCTGCCTTGTCTAGATCGATCAAGTCTTTGGAGTTCTTGCTCTTCTTGTCAGTACCCCAGGAATCCCAGATGTCGTCAGTTGCTTGGTCGCCAGGCTGGTTTGTTTGGGAAGCTTCGTCCGCTTTGCTATCCTCGAGAACGGCCCCCTTCTTCTTCTTGTCCTTCTTGGAGGCGCTGGTGCCCAAGGAACCCCAGAAATCGTCATCTTGCTTAGTTTCGGACTCGGGCTCTGGCTCAGGTACGGGTTCTGCTGGCGATTCCGCCTCGACATTCTTGCCTTTGCCCTTCTTCTTCTTCTCCTTGGAGGTAGAAAGCCCCCAAGCGTCATCATCTTTCTTTTCCTCAGGAATCGTTTCTGGTTCTGGGTCCGGTTCCACCGCAGGGACAGGTTCAGGCTCGGGATCCTTGGGAGTCTCAGTGCTAGATTTCTTGCCCTTCTTCTTCTTTTTATAAGAGACGCCGGCCCCCCAAAAGTCATCTTCCTCTTTGACCGGCGCAGGCTCAGGTTCAGGGTCAGGGTCGCGTGTTGGTTCGGGCTCAGGTTCAGGCTCGGGATCGGGATCGGGCTCGGGCGTAGGCGCCTTGGCAGGCTCCTCCGTCTTGCCGCCCTTCTTTTTCTTGGCCTTCTTAGAGGTGGTGAGACCCCAGAAATCATCGTCATTCTTTTCCTGTTCCTGTTGCGGCTCGGGCTCCGGCACAGATGCAGGTTCAGGTTCCGGCTCTTTCTGGAGCTCGGGTTCCGGTTCCTTACTTTTGCCTTTCTTCTTCTTGTCTTTCTTTGAGGAAGTGGTAGTAAAGCCCCAGATGTCATTCTTCTGCTCGTGTTCCGGGGCAGGCTCCGGCTCCGGCTCCGGCTCCGGTTCTTTAGGCGGTACGGGAGCAGGTTCAGGTTCGGGTTCGGGTTCAGCTGCCTTGCCCTTTTTCTTCTTGTCTTTCTTGGTCACCGCTCCCCAACTGAAATCCTCCACCTTCTCCTTTGAGGCAACCTCGGGTTCGGGTTCGGGTTCCTTTGTTGGTTCCGCGACCGGCTCTGGGTCCTTCGGAGGCTCCTCTGGAACATCAGCCTTACCTTTCTTCTTTTTGCCCTTTTTTGTGGTGACAGCACCCCAGGCACCCCACGTATCGTCGCCACCACTGGTTTTCGTCGGCTCAGGTTCCGCCGGGGGTTCGGGCTCTGGTTCGGGTTCGGGGTCAGCAGGCTTTTCTTCGGACTTTGGAGCCTCAACAGGTGCGGCTGCCGCCTCTTTTTTCTTCTTCTTGCTAGCGCCCCAGAAGTCCCAAGGGTCGTCTGCCGCCTTGACGGCCGGCTCAGCCGGTTTTGACTCCTCTACCTTGACTTCCTCGGCGACCAGCCCCCCCTTCTTCTTCTTTTTACCTTTGGACGCCGGAGCAAACCAATCCTCCTCTGCTTGGGCACTGGTATCCGGGGCAGGGGTAGGCTCCGGTTCCGCCTGGGGTTCGGGTTCGGGTTCGGGCTCAGGCTCGGGCTCCCATATGCTGTTTTTCTTCTTTTTCTTGTCTTTCTTGACCGTCGTAGAGAAGCCAAAGTCGAAACTCTCCTCCTTTTTTGGCTCGTTCTCGGCAGGTTTCGGATCTTGATTGGCTCCGTCGGCCTCGTCAGTTGCGGTGAAAGAGAAAAGGGACTTGTTTTGCTTGGATTTACCAATGCCCCATGGGTTGCCGTCGACCCCGCTTTCGTCCTTGGCCTTATCCTCTGTAGAGGTCTTTTTGCCCCAAGCCCAGGAGGAGCCAACCGTGTTAATCAGTTTGGAGCCCCACCCGCCGAACGAGCTCAGTTTAGAGTCCGAAGCGCCAAAACTAATGTCGAGACTCGGATTCGAATCCAGTTTGATCTCCTGGAAAGCGTCAAACCCACCTGATCCGGATTCCACGGCAGGGAGTCCAAAATCGGTGGCCTTCTGCTCGTCTGTGGCAGCGGGAGGGTCTGGAGCAGCAGGAGGGTCTGGAGCAGGGGGGGGATCCGGAGCAGCTGCAGGGGCAGGGGCGGCTACAGCGCCCTTCTTCCCCTTTTTCTTCTTGGTAGTTACGGGAGCAAACCAGTCATCCACGGGAGCCGCTTCGGTCGATTCCTGTTTGTCGTCCGGTGTTTCTTCCTTCTTCTCTTCTGCAGTGGCTTTGCTCTCATCTTCGGCCTTGTCATCCTTTTTATCCTCGTTCTTATTATCGTCGCCTCCGTCACCGCCGTCGCCGCCAGTGTTGCCTGCATCTCCACTCGGGGAATCACCGCCTGCGCCCCCATTGTTCCCGTCCCCAGCGTCTTCGCCACCGCCATCTTTCTTGGCCCCATCATCAGCATTGCTGTTGTTCGCCTTGCCCGCCGGTGCCGCCTTGTTCTTTTTCTTTTTTGCGGCTTGTCGAAATCCTTGGTCACTTTCAAAGTCGACTCGGTAGGATGTACTGGGGCAGGGAAGAAGACCGTCCTTCCGATGTGGAGCATCGGACCGTGTACGGTAAGGTCCTAGGTCTTCAGTATGGAGGTCGTTTGAGCGCAGAGAGCGGCTCTGTGCGTATGCACCGCTATCTGTAGGGTCGTGAAGGCCCGAGGAAAGCGGTTCTAGGTCATCGGTGAGGGATAAAGCGCGAAGCCACCTTGGAGATATGTCCGGTAGGATGAGCACTGTTCTACCTGTTTGGGAGCAGCGGACTTGAGAACGTGGCTGCTGTCATGTGTCCGTCAGTAGAAGTCAAAGAAGCGCTGCAAAGAAGTGTGCTCGCGTCCGGACCGCCTCTCTGAACCTTAGCTGTTGTGCCTCACGGAGGGTCTTCCCCGACGTGGTCTGGTCGAAAGAAGATATAAATGGGCGCAGGATGGGTTGAAGCGCCATAGAAATCCGGAGGGGATATGGCGAAGAGAGGGACAACGGGATTCTCCTCCTTACCTCAAACCTGGCGCATAGCCCTACCCACGTCTGTGCAATGGCGCGCAGCTGTGCCTTTAGGACAGAAGCATCCAGCAGTCCTCCCGATGCTCTATTTCGCCCAGCCGGCCTCGTCGAAAGCCGGTTTGTTGGGAAGGCGTGATTCGAGCGGTCTGGCCAGGTTCCGCAAACCGTCGCAGCGGCCATGCTGTAGGTTGAAGGAGTTGGCAGTACGGCCGGCCAGCAATTGTTTGACACATGCGGTAGTGCGTTTGCTAGGTAAGGCAGGCGTGTGCAAATCGACCAGGGCAACCATACGAAAATGCGCCGTGAATGAGATTTGAGAGTCAGACAGCCAAGGACAGCGGCACGCTACTTCCCGTGTGCGCTTGCGTTGTTCTGTCGCAGATTCGATACCCTGAAGAGCAGAAACTGTCAATTCCAACCGCCTCCCCAAGCTTTGTCCTTTTTTCTCGTTCGAGGACACCGTCCGGTGATGGAGAAAGATTTCGTCGCGCAGGTGAAAAGGGCTGTGAGAAATCAGGGACCAATCGGTGGGCGGGATCTGGGAAGAGAGAGGCCGAGAGAATGGCGATTGGTGTACTTTCAGGCTGAGCGTGTCGTGCCACCACACCGCCGTTGCGTCTTGTCCGAATCAGCCAGCGACTCCAACAGCTGGGACCGGTGGAAAGAGGGAAAAAATCCCTGGGCTGTTGCGTGAGTGGTCGACGGACCTGATGCTCAAACGGGAGGCGGAGAAGGGTGAAGATCTCCTAATGAAGTCTTCATGCACGGCCGTGAGTACCGTCGCGTACCGTCCCACAGTCCCACTGCACATCCCACGGCACGGCACCCTTCCTGCTGGGGCCCCTGCAAGCACAAATCGGGCGGCGGTGATGCAGGGATGTCAAGAGTTTGTGCATTATCTTCCCGTCAGCCGTCTTACTATCATTCCCGTCATCCGTCTCAGACATAGAACTAATCGTGCGAGTAATCGAGACAAACTTCAAATTGGATTTGTCCAAGATCGTCTCACATCTTCCGTCGTTTGCTCGTCTCGTCACTCACCCAACCCCCCAACAGCCAGTCACCCGGACAAGAATGTCTTGTCAATGCGGGGTCACTATCACGTACTTTACACGCCTTCTTCCACTGAAAACTTTCTGGGCCGGCGGGTAGAGCCGCTGCCATTGGCTGATGATGCAGGAGTTCGCAGTTCAATCCGGTTAGCGGATGTGATGCCCTCCCACCGACGCTCTATCCGAACTTCAATTGCGTAATTACCAGTATCGTATTGCGAAACGGTTATGTATGGTGGTTCTGAATTGTGCAAGTCCAAATTGACAGAAGATGTATGTGCGATTTGGTGGTCGACGGCGCAAGTGTCGAGACTGTCAGATGCTCAATACCTTAGATATAAGAACCTGGAAGTGAATGCGTATTCTTAATGTTAGAAGAACAGAAAGCAGGCATTTCATGCGTATTCTACTGAAACATTACACTCCCGGAATTACTGTACTAGTATCGTAACTGTACCCCATATCACTCCGTCACACCTTCCAGATTTCCTTGTCTTGTGACGATTTTGAGCACCACCTTAGGTTGGGGAGGAACGAATGAAAACCAACCCAAGCAGTATCCATACCAAGCAGTTTTCCCCGCTCGATATCCTGCCTTGTCAAGGACCTTGAGATCCATGCTTACCGTGATCAATATGCCCTCACTCAAGCAACATGTCTTGCTACGTGTAGACTTCCACGTCGACCGAGGACCCGATAGTGGGCCGATGATGGACCGGCGATGGACGCGACAGTGGGTGAGTTACACTTTTTAAAAGTAACCGCACACGCGCGGTCTGCCGGTGCACCGAAGCCGTCAACAATTGACATGCAGCCGGACTCAGGGTGGATCTTCGTTGCAGGAGGCCGCGACACGCGTCGTCGAATCGCCTTGTCCAGACAGCTGGGGCCGGTACCACTACGTTGCAGACTGGGCAGCCATGCGCCATTAGCAAGGTGCCAGCTACATCTGCCAGCGACCTCTCTCGACGCGCCTCGGCTTGGGATGAGACCAGCTTGTACCCAATGAGGCAAGCATTGCCAACGAGGAACCTAGAGGTTCTTTGAGGAAGGGGCTGCTACATCAGAAGGCTACACTAGTCGCCCGATGCAAGCCACTCATGGCGGTCATGCCCAATCGGGGCGTCGTCTTGTGTGCTTGCGTGCTTCACCGCCAGATGTCTTTTCGAGAACCCAGATGCCCCTCCGATGAACTTGACTGCCAACGGTTTTTGAAACGTAAAAACTTTGAGCAGCAAAATTTACTCACTCTGACCCGTGGCTGGCTGGCTGCCGGTGTCAATTGCCATACTTCGTACATACATGCAGTGGTCATGACGCTCGTGGGTTCAAGGAGAAAAGCATTCCCGCCTGGTTGTGCTCACTCCAGATTTTTGCGTTCTGAAAGCTCAGATAACGTCGGTTGTTACTGAGCCGGGTCCACAAGTCATACCGGTAGTACAGTCTGTTTCCGAGCCATAAAGTACCCATCTTACACAACGGAATGTCTGAGGTCCTGTACAGTATGCTACCAGAGCAGCTAGACGAACTTGCAACAAAATGCGCATTACTAGAAGAGAAGATGGCGGGCGCACTACATTTCCCAACTTTTCATTTTCAAAGCCTGCGCAGTTGGAGGAAGGAACTCAGGAGATGGTTGCCCCTTGACAGGGGGCTGACCCGTGCCGCCGTTGGTGGTCGTAGCTTCGTTTCGGACGACCCGTCCACGGGTTTTGGTGTCTCAAGAGAATTGAATCAGTGCGCAGACCAGCAAAGTTCAGCAAATAACGTCAGACATCACACTGGAAGTTTGGTCAGACGCTCCCGCAACACCATTCCTTCGTCGAAGGGTAAGATCAATCAGGCGACAGTTCTGGCCGCTGTGCCTATATTAATTCATCAATCTGCTTCAAGTTTGTGAGCTGAGAGCTCAACTTGCCTTATGCACAGTATCTACACCACAGAAGCGGACAACTAAGCATCACTGTCGCTGCTGCTCAATAATATACAGTACCCAAGACGGGATCTGCTGGCGGAGGCAGACTTGGCATCTCCTTTGTTCGTCGATCGGGCCCGTCCGCTTGGCATTCCTCGGCGGGAAGACCGGCGTTGACAGTTTCTCGGCAACCGCAACGTCCGTTCCTTGTCGTCCAAAAGCCGAACAACGGACACTTATCTGCTCTAAAAAGCAAACACCACTGGCTGCCGGGTACACGGCAGCATATCCATCCCAGCTAAACCCCTTGCCTCGCTGCGCGCCCTCAAACTCCAATGTCTCCCCCCGAGCCCTTCACGGTCATCACCCGGGTGCCCATCCCGGCGCGCCTGTCTCCCTCAGCCGTGCTAGCAGCGCTGCATGCCTACGAGCCGCTCATCAAAGCCAACCCGTACCTAGACCGGTACGAGCGGCGGCACGTCACGGCCGACGACGTGGCCGGCGACAGCCTCTTCTTCTCCCCCGACCACTACCTGGAGAACGATGACAACGGCGGCCACGGCGCCGCCAACCCAAACCACCACCCGGAGGACCCGAACCTGCAGGGCTTTGTGGTCTACGACCGCGTGCCCATCATCCCCGGGCTGGGGTCGTGGGCGTCCAAGGAGGTGGCGGTGCCGTGCATCTTCCAGCGGTCTGCGCACGGCGTGCGGTGCCGCGCCGACGCCGTGGGCGGCGTGACGGTGCGCAGCCGCTACGAGGTCCGGCGGCGCGGCGAGATTGCCGATGCCGACGACGGCGGACACCCGGTGGCCCACGACGGTGATGGTGATGGTGATGATGATGGTGGGGCTTATGAATTGGTGGACATCTCGTCCATCGAGTGTGGTGCGCTCGTGAGGCCGTTTGTCAAGCTCCGCTTCTCGAGCGGGCACCAGGAGATCCTTCGGCGGGTGGTGGACGAGGTGATGCATGCTCAGGCTGCTGCTGCTGCTGGGCCGCAGTCTGGGCGTTGAGAACGGGGACTGTGAAGCACGGTCAATCGATG